GAATTGAGATCGTGTTGATCAGCAACTATGGCTTTTGTTGTTGTTGTTGTTGCTTAAGTTAAAGGTAGCAAGCATTTCGATCATTGATTTTATTGTTTGGGGATTTTTGAAGGAATGGAGAATAAAAGCAATGGATTTGATACCAATCTACTCCTCGGTACTGTGTACGAAGAATAGCCTACAATTGATTGCAATGAGGTCGTGTCGATCAATTATATCAGTTTACTCTTTTTCTCTTTGGACAACAACGAAGTCAAAATATAAGTCGTTTTGAGATGGCGTAATGCTTAGAGATTGAAAATATTGAAGCCTGTTATGTGCGTCACATATGCGGACATAATGGAAACGTTTGTTTGAAACAAATGTGGAAAATCCACTATTAGATATATCCGTATGGATTTAATTCTAACAGGATTTAAACGTTGTGCCTTTTTTCAAAGGTTAATTTATTTAATTATAAAAATAGAAAAGAATATACATGGCAAGTCTGTAGCAGGATTTTGTTCTGTTAAAAAGACTTCTTGTGTTTCAACTATTTTACAATTGTTATAGGAGAAACCATGGTACAATGAGGTGGTAGAACAGTTTCGTAAAACTACAGAAATACAGCCCTAAGGCTATGTCAGCTTCCTGTCAAATTTGTATATGCAAGAAGTTATTTTAATTTATTCAATATTTTTCCTCATTTCTTAAAATCAGTTAAACAGCGGAGAAGTGAATGAAATGCCTGCATTTTCTTTCATTTCATTTTCATTTTTATTTCCATAGAATTTGAAATAATATATGAATTAATTAGAGTTTTCTTTTTTTTTTCAAAACAATAGACACATACAAACATTGTGATGCATTATCACAAAATGGATTTTTCTTCAATAAAAGGCAAAACTATAAACCAGTAAAGAAAGTCCTAAAGTCGGGCGGGGCCGACTTTATGATACCCTACACCACTTTGCCAATTTAGTACAGCAAAGAGGAGAATTTAATCATACACGCTAGTTCAAAGGACTCAATATGCCGAAGCAATAGTATCTTTTAAATTCGGACTTGTATTGCCCATTTGGTGCAAAAATAATTTGAAATCGGATAAAGATATATATGGGAGCTATATCTAAAACTGAACCGATCTCGATAAAATTTGGCAAAGATATTTCTGAGCTGTATTTGATATATTTCCCTGAATATCGTTGTTACGGAGTGCGTATTACGGCTGTGGGTAACAAAAAAATCGTAAAAAAATCGGATGAACAATATATATGGGAGCTATAGCTATATCTGAACCGATTTCGATCAAATGTGGCATACTTATTTTCAGGCCTAATTTGGTCGTATGTGCAAAATTCCACACTATTCGGGCTGATATTGCACGTTTTGGAGCTATATCTAAATTTTACCGATTATCTCCAATTTCAATAGGGTTCGTCCTTGGGCCAAAAAAGGTTGTTTGGAAAATTACATCTCAATCGGATAATTAATGCGACCTGCATTTTGTTCACAAGAATACATGGACAGACGGACGGAAGGACGGACGGACAGACAGACGGATAGACGGACTGACATGCATAAATCAACTCAGAAAGTGATTCTATGAAGATCCTCAAAAGTAACTATGGGTCTATCTCGCTTCCTTCTCCATGTTACAAACAAATGCACAAAGACATAACACCCTTACCACTATGTGGTGTAGGGTATAATGATTTCCAAGTAATTCGAAAACTCGGCACTTGGTATATGCGTTCGACGACAAAATACCAAGGTCGGGAGTTCGAATCTCAGAGTAAACTTCGAAAAAATTTATAACATATGATGAGTTGTTGATGTAGATGTGCGGGTTTATGTTCGCAATGGTTGCACAGTATAAAGGGTGAGGTAAAAAAACTGCAACAAAATCAAACGCCATAATTTTTACATTTTATTGAATGAAAGCCAAAAATTTCGGAAATAGCATCAAATTTTAGAATAAGTTTAGATTTGTTCGAATTGGTCACCTTTGGCACGAATTATGGCCTTCAATCGACCAATGAAACCAGCACACACTGCCCGAATGTTGCTCTGCAGTATTTTGGTCATTTCCGGCGAAGCGCATTCTTGAGGTGATCGACACTTTGGCATTTTTTAGTACCAACCTTGCTTTCCAAAATACTCCAGACACAATAGTCCAACGGATTGGTATACGGAGATTTTGGGGACCATTGTACGCTGGAAATGAAGCGAGGAACATCATTTTATAACTATTCTTGGAAGGCGCGTGCTGAGTCCGATGGTGCTGAGTCCTGTTGGAATGTCTAAGGTCTGCGGCCAAAATGTTTGCGTGCCCAAGGCTTTAATACACCCTCCAGAATGTTTTCGATCATTTTGTTTGTTTACAAACTGCTGGACAACGAATGTTTTCCCATCGGAGAAAACCAAAGCACTTCGGCCCAGCGAAGCAACTCTTTAGCTCTTTTGAGTCTATTTTCTATTTTCACTATTCTGGAATTTCAATGGTTTTACGCCGAGCTCAATTTTCAATATTTGCCGAATAGAATATTGCTATATGTTCAGCTCACAAGCCATTTTTCGGCCACTGCGACGTGGGTTTCGATCAAGCCCACTTCCGTTCACTTCCTTGACGTCGGGCTACGCTACCAGTGTCACGGTAACGAGCTTGGGTACGAGAAACAAAAGATTTATTCACATTTAAATGCTGGATTGCTCTAACGAAATCACACTAACACGCTTGAATTCCATCACGAATAACGTTTTTTCTGGAAAACTCTAACCAAAATGCTTTTGTACGCTTGTAAACAATATAATGAGCTTTCACTGGAGTAATTTTAACAGCAGTCGGACTAGTGGCTTGGAAATGACAGCAGTCTGAAGTTGGTTGCAATTTTCTCATCTCACCCTGCATAGTGTTTTTAATTCAGCCTGGCTCGAATTTGTACAGAGTGTGAAACTCACTCCAATTCGATCAAGTGCGCTGCTGGGAGCCTCGATGCGCTCGATGTCGCTCGAATATGAGTGAGCTTATTTTCCTCGTTTTTGAGTGGGAACAAAATTCATTTAAAATCGAGCAGATTTTACTCTTGCCGAACACTCTTTTAGGCTTATATCGTGCCGTTGTTGTATTTTTGTGTATGTGTTCTCATCTTTCCCCAACCCTTTTTTGTTAGAAATGGAAAAGTATTTTTTTTATAACATTCATAACTTTGCTAGCCGTTACAATACAATTCAGGTAGAACGCTTTGTTGGACCTTAAAATAAAATTTATAACAACAAGTTAAGGAGTATTCATCGGTTTTGCCGATAGATTGATACCCTCAGGCTTTATCCGTTTATTTCAAATATATTTCGACATGTTTTATTATTGTTCAAAATTTTGATCCTCTATAGGAGAGCTACCGATGCGGTAGAACAATGTTGTCTATTTCGATTATGGCCTTAGTTTGATATAATCATTGGAACTGACAGCTTTGGACAATGTGTATACATTTTTTGAAAATGCTCAAATTTTTTGTAAATTCTCAAATTTTGTATTTCGCAAGTTATGGGTGTTATAATTATTCAAAAATTTGACTTTTGTGGAGAGGAACCAGAAAAATTGTGTAGTATTAGGTTTTTTCAAGTTGTCTAATGTTGGTTTATTCAAAACATTGATCCGCTGTGAGGGAGGTATCAGAACAAGTTCGTTCCATCCGTGCCTCATACCCGATCTTGTGTTGGTAGAGATATTGAAAGTGCAAAATTTGAAGACAGGTAGGACTCATATTTCCCATTTTGTAATTATTATGCAAAATGCTGAACTTTTGTGTGGGAGGTATTAGAAGAAGTGAGCCGATATATTCCATCTTATTCAAAATATTGACCTTAGTGGAGGAGGTTCCTGAAGGTGTGAGCCGGTATATCCTTTTTTCGCACCTTATCTCGTGATGGTTAATATATTGAAATGTGAGAAATTTAAAGAAAATCTAATGCATATTTCGCATTTTATGAGTGTTTTAGATACTCAAATTTTTGACCCTTTGTGGGGAAGGTATTCAAAGGAGTGATCCGATATCCGATTGTTTTGGTAAAAAAATTGGGAAGTCCAAAGTTTTAAAATAATCGGATACTTATATCGCATTTTATGAGCGTTTTGGTTATTCAAAATGTTGACCCTTTGTGGGGAGGTACCAGAAGGGATGGTCCACTTTGATCCATTTTTACACCCGATTTTGCAATGGTAAAAATATTGGTATGTGTGAAATTTGAAGAAAGTCTGCATTAAAAATCGCATTTTATGAACCTTTTAGATATTCCAAATTTGTGGGGGAGGTACTAGAAGGGGTAGTCCGATCTTGTACATTCTCGCATCCAATCTTGAGGTAATGCAAATATCACGATTTGAAAAGTTTGAACAAAATCAGACTATCCGTTTTCTTCCCATGCGTTAAAAATGTTGAAATTTTATGGGGGATGTACCAAAAGCAGTTGACCGATCTTCCCCATCTCAGAACTCGATCTAAGATTGACAAAAATATTGCGATGTACCAAGTTTGGATCAAAACGGATATTCCCTTCTAGCCATATGGCTGAGGGTATAAAAAACCCCGCAACACCTTAAAATACAATTTATAAAAAATAATACAATAACTTAAAACAACCAACGTTAATAATTGGTTTTCAAGGACTAGCAGAACTATTACGTATTTCTTTTAGTAACGAGCCAGTCTTTTAAATGCAATTTTAAAATATCTTCAATTATAAATGTCATTATCTTTGAAATGGAAATAATGTTGGTTGTAAGTTTCTTACAAGTTTTTGAAAATAAATATGAAAAATATATTGAAATAATATGCAATAGTTGTAGCTCAGTCACGTCCATAGCTGAGCCACTAAATCTATAACCCATTCCAATTTCTACAACATGTCCAAATATTTATTTGTTCATATCCCTTATGCCAATTATTTTGGAATTTTCCACTCTTTCATAACTCATAAATACAACCATTTATATTTTCCGTTCTTTTTCCATTTTCCAGGAAAACTAAATATATAAATCAACATTGACGTCCATTAATCAACAAAAGACTTGGGGAACGTAGCTCAACTTAACTATAAATCAAACTAGAAACTGGATAAATATTCACCACCAAACACAGCCATTCGGCTAAAACAAGAACAACAACAGCAACAGATCCAGCCATCATTTGCAGCAACGATACTGGAGAAGAAGCCCAACAGCAACAACAACAATAACAACATTCCCTGACATTCATTCGCCTGGCACTAAACTTCAGCACATTGTCCACCACATCGGATTTTCGGAAACGATTAACAACGTCCTTTATGGTTCATTAAATTGCCAAAGGAAAAACACCAAATCCTTGCCTTTCGTACTATTTGACGGACATCCTTCTAACAGAGATATCTTCCGAACGATTTACACCCACATCTAAACAACAGCAGCAGCAACAACAACAGAAACAGCAGCTGTGACAACGACAACAACTTGCCATCAGCAACAGCAGAAGCCATCACCACACCAACTACTAGCTACTGCCAGCATAGGAAGAGCAACTGAGAGTCAAGGTGTTGCCACCGTTGTTGTTGGTTTTGTTGGCAATCAAGGTCCCGGCGCTGTCATCATGGAGGGGCCAGAGGTGACATTTCTATTCCAATTTGGCAGTGTGCGCGATGCAGTGTCGGTAGCTGCCAATGTTTTAACATTGAAAAAGCTCAAGGATTTGGCATGTGAATTCATCAACACGAAGGTAAGTTCCCCGGATGTCTGTATGTATGTATGTGTGTGTGTATGTTGGTATCCGTATAAAGTTTGTGTAATTGTTTGTGTAGCCTTTTTTTTTAGTATTTTGTTTGTTTGTATGTAGGTATGTATCTCCATGAAAATGTGAGTTGTTTGTCTTGCTTTATACGTGTGTGTGTGTAGCATATCCTTGTTATAGTGCAAAGGATTGCTGGCATTGATGTTGCTAACAGAAAAGTCTATAAGTAAACAAAGTTCAAGCAAATATTAGCTTATTTGACTTCGTCTTCCTCGTCTGTTACGCCCGTAACTGCTGTCATGGGGCCAATGGAAAAATGAAAAAAGACAAACAGAGCAGTTAATTACTATGAATTTATACAAAATACACGGGAAAGAGAGGTGAGAATGACAATTGTGCGCAATGTGTGACGAAAGAGGACTGAAATTTAGACCTTGTATAGTTTATTTTTTCTTAGACGGGAAAGCCGAAGGGGTTCTTCTGATAGGCGAAAGAACTCAAAAGAGTTTTTTGTTAGACTAGAGAACTGTATGGCGTCTGAAGGAAGTACTTTTGGCTGAAAAGCTGAAATAATATTTTTAGACTCACTGAAGTGAGTTTTTAGATGAAGGAAGTTTTTTTTGTCGATAAGCTTAAGGAAGCCCTTTTTTAACGACGGAGAATTTTTAGACAAGCTGAAGAGGGAATTTTACAAAAAGGCTCAGGATCTCTTCTCGAGCTGAAGGGAGTCTTTCTAGACTAGCTAAAGGGAGTATTTTTAGGCGAGCTGATGGAAGTCAATCATGATGAGCCGATGGAGTATTTCCAGACGAGCTAAAGCGAGTCTCTATAGATGAGCTGAAAAAATCTCTCTTGACGAGTTCATGATCCGTCTCTACAGTCGACGATTAGTGTCTCTTGACGAGCGGAAGAGATTCTCTCTAGACTAGTTGAAGGAAATTTCTCCATCGAGTTTAAGGGAGTCTCTCTAGACGCCCTAAAGGAAGTCAATCTTGACGAGCTGTTGAAGCATGTCTATATACAAGCTGAAGAGCCGTCTCTCTAGACGTGCTAAAGAAGGTATCTCTTGACGAGCTGAAGAGCCGTCTCTCTAGACGTGCTAAAGGAAGTTTTTCTTGACGAGCTAAAGAGATTTTCGGTAGACAAGCCGAAGAAAGTCTCTCTTGAAGGCCCATCTCTACAGACGAAGACTAGTATAAACTAGCTGAAGGAGGACTTTTAAGAATGGCTCAAGGCTCTAAAGACGAGCTAAAAGGGCTCTCTCTAGACTATTTTAAGGATGTCCCTCTATAATAGTTAAGGGGAGTATCTTTAGACTAGATTAAGGAAGTATATCTAGACCAGTTGAAGATATTCTCTCTAGAAGATCTGAAGGGAGTCTCGCTCCAGACGAGCTGAAGGGAATCTCTTTCTAGATGAGGTGAAGGAAGTCTCTTTCTAGACGAGCTAAAGGGAAGTGAGTCTTTACACACAGATTCTCTATAGACAACTAAAATTGTGTCTCCTAAGACGTGGAAGTAGCCTCCTTGGACGACTAGAAGGGTGTACTAGTAGATTTCCAGAAGAAAAAAAACAGTATAGAGATGACTTGAAGAGAGATTAATAAAAAGAAGAAAAACAACTCTTATTTATAGCCGAATAAAAAACCAGTTTTAAAATCGACTAAGTCATCCAGGAGGGAGATTTTAAAGACAGGAAATTTTCAGAGGAATTTTCATGGAAAACACCTATTTATTGCCGAACAAGAACAAGCTAAAAAGTATCAATCGGTTTTCCCGACAGATGTATACCCTCAGCCAATGTTTGATTATTTGGTTTCGAAGGAATAGGCCAATATTGTACAAACATATGATATTAATATTGCGACGTGCCAAGTTTCCACTATATTGGTTACTTCCTTCACTTTATGTGAGATATGTGATAATTTTTAAAAAAAATCGCTAACTTGTTTCGCAAGTTATGACAGATAATAATATTGAAAATGGTAACCCTTCTTGGGTGAGGTACCAGAAGAATTTCGCAGATATATATCATCTTTACAACAGATCTTGCATTTGCAAAAATTTTTGTATGTATGAAATTTGAAGAGAGTTGTGTGCCTATTTCGCCTTATTTGAGCGTTTTGTTTTTCAAAATCTTAAACCCTATATCTCCCACACATAGAAAATGTCTCCCAGGAAAAATGGTCTGATCTCTTCATATTTATTACAGATCTTGTGTTGATGGAAATATTGATGGAAATATGTACCAAGTCTGAAGGGAATCACATATTATTTTTTTTATTTTTAAACTTCGTGGATATTCAAAATTGTGGCCCTTTGATGGGGAGGTACCAGAAGGAGTTGTCCGATATATCCCAGCTTTACACCAGACCATGGGTTAATAAATATATTGTGATGTGTGAAATATGAAGGGAACCTGATGCTTATTTCAAATTTTATAATAGTTTTGGTTATTCAAAACTACGACCCTTTGTGGGGGAGGTACCAGAAGGAATGGTCCGAAAAATTGAAATTTGTCAAGTCCGAATGGAATCAGATCTTAATTTAACATTTTATGAGCTTCATAGATATTCAACAGATCAGAATACCAGAAGCAGTGGACTGATATAGATATTCAATACCAGAAGGAGTGGACCGATATGGTGCATTTTCGCACCTGACCTAGCAAAAAATCGGATTACCCTTCCCTTCCTTTCTTTCAGAAGGATTAGACCGATATTGCCAAATTGGATACTTCGGGATTCGGGAGTTATCGTGCGCGCCAGCCAGACAGACAGAAGTTTGCACCAAATTGGTTACTCCATTCGAGAGTTATCGTGCGCACCAGCCAGACAGATGGACGGACATCGCTAGATCGATTCCAAATGTCCTGAAACGGATTTGGTCTAAGGATACCTAGGGTCTAAAACCGTTACTTCGATAAGACATATTTTGGCCATATCAAATGATATACCCTTTGTGGATACCCTTTAGTAAACAAGTAAAAAACATTAAGTTCGGGCCGAACTTTTAATACCCTCCACCTTAGGGTAAAGGAAACATTAGACCTCATTATGACCCACTAATACCAATTTTTAGACAAATTTGTAAGAAAATATGGCAAAAACTAGCAAGGTACCCTTATATGTAGGCTATACCAAAACGTGGACCTATACAATGTTTCGCCACCGGAGCTAGAACCCATTATGACCAACAAATAACAATTTTTAGACAAATCCGTGAAAAAATGTGGCAAAAATCAATAAAATACCGAATATCGAGAGGTACCGTTATATGGGGGCTATACCAAAGTGTACACCTATACATACAATGTTTCGCCACACGAACTAGAACCCATTACGACCTACAAATACTAATTTGTAGACAAATTTGTGAACAAATGTGGTAAAAATATCAAAATACCGAATATTGGGATGTACCGTGATATGGGATCTATATCAAAACGTGGACCGATATACTTCATTTTCTATACCAACCATCCTAGATACAATAGAAGTTGTTCTGCTAAATTTTGACGCTCTACGTCAAATAATGTGGGCTGTATCGTGATTTCAACAGACAGACGGACAGATAGACAGACAGGCGGACATCGTTACATCGACTTAGAATTAAATGCTGATTATGTATATGTATACTTTATGGGGTCTACAAGGAACATTTAGGGATGTTACGAACGGAATGACAAAGTTAATATACCCTCCTTTCAAAGGTGAGGGGTATAAAAATATGTAACATTTCTGAGTTTAAGATATTGAAATTCATTTTTCATACCATCCCCCTTTTCACCCAACCTGATATACATAGTTATTGGATTTTCCACGTCTTCAAATGGTCTCCAAGCAATCTAATGATGCCTTTGATGTCAATTCATTTGTGAAATTGTTAGCGAGAATGGATTTTGTGGTTGTTGCTGTTGTTGGTGGTTGGATGGCATTTCCCATTAAACGCGTATAACTGGAATTAATTTCAATCTATATTATTCGCGGACATCTGTATCAGGAGGGTAATATAGTTTATTAGAAATTATGCTGTTATGCTTGCAGGTAGCAAAGTGGTTAGAAATATTTTGAAATACACAAATTTGAGTTGACTGCATTTAGTCGGGGATTAAGTGGTTGTACTACTAAAAATTTAGATCTCCAGAGGGTTCTTATCGAGATTCACTAAGATTTTTTTTTGGAATATGTAACAAAAAATAAAATTCCATTAAAATAATTATTCTTTCGAAAATAACTTTTCTAATTATTGGGAATTTTAAAACGATTAATTAGGTTCAGAAGAAGGGCCCACTTTCTATCCTACATACTACTTGCAGCCACGAGCTTCATTCCCCCCACGATTTCTACAAAGATCCCCCCTTCCTCAAGCTAAACAGTGGGTGCAGTAGACAATTTGAATATGACGCCTACGGCAATTGCGACTCAGAAATGATAACCCCGACCACCAACACTACCACCACCAGCAAATGAGTGGAACAAACAAACGAAGTGTCAATGAGTACAAATGTGCTCCTCGTCGACGTCTACGTTTAATTTCAAACACGCATTTACTTTGTAGTTATTGTTGTTGCTCACTTTGCCACATTTTTATGTCGCATGTCATCAATTCTCGTGGGCCCAGAAGATTGCCGTTGAACTAGGTACTAGGTGTTTGTTTATCAGTCAACTAACTACTTACTCTAACTGTCGCCAATAATGAAAAATGCTGATGGAAGAACAACATTGCCAGTGTGACAATCGTAAATAAATACGTGACAGACAAAAAATAAAAAACAATAAAAAATAGTACACTTGACATGCAATTATGTTTTCATATACGAAACAAGACAATTTCATTTCATTTATTTTAATCACTCTGACCCCTTATAGACACCTTGTCACGTACAGGACAACGGCTGAGCCAATGTTGCCCTTAAATATTTGATTTTGATTGAAGTCGACCAAAAAACCTATAAAAAGAACATATGAACATCTTTAAAGAGGGTTCAAACGGCTATGAACGGTCAGTTGGGGTACTAGGGAAGGTATGTGAACCCCATCTTTCCAATTCCATATAAATATAAGAGTTGAGTCATTGACTGACTAATTCATCATAGCCCAGACAAAATGACTGAAGCTAGAACCATGACATTTGGGATGAATATCATCTTTGTGGTAGTGGTGCGAAAAAGGGTTGAGTTTTTGGAAATTCGCACAAGTCAGGTATGAAAAGTTCTAAAATATAGTAAATAGTGTACGGATAAAGCTAAAATTCTGAAAGTTGGAAAAAGGGGTCATTGTTTTAAGTGAGTTTTGTAAGAAATTCAAACTTTAAGTGTATGAAAAGTACTAAAAGTTACTTATTTATTATCATGATGTGTTTTTAATTGATAAAGCTAAGATCTTGAAATTTTATATAGGAAACAAAGTTGGAAAGTACCATGGTAGAATAAAAAGGTAAGGTAGAGTTACCAGCTGATTACAATTTTTTTCTAAGTGTGCCCGATTTCTGTCAATTGTGTGTATGTATTTAATGTTTTGAAAAATGAAAACAAAATATTTTCAAAACCAATGATTGGCAGACACTTTTAATTAAAGCTATTAACCAGTTTAGCCATGAAATTGAACAGTTTGGATCATTTTTTGAGAGAAAATCCAGCCATTTAATTCATTTTTCGCGCTATTTAACTCATTTTAAAAATGAAGGAAAATATGAAAACAACTTGTATATAATTTTGAATTGGTCTGGCAGGAAGCGGACATATCCTCAGGGCTGTGTTTCTGTAGTTTTACGAAGCTGTTCTACCTCCATATTGTACCATGGAAATTACTGCCTGGTTTTGGAAATGCGTACTTCAGTGTACCAATCGTTACAAATGACATGGTTCTGGGTGAATGGATAAACGTGGCATGTTGAAATTTAATATAAATACGTCGTTCTGGAAATGATTGTACGCAAGAGTGCGAAAATTATTAAATTTGGTAAATAGTGTTGGAGAAGATCTGAAATTGTGCATTTTCGTACTATTACGAGTATCACTGTGAGTGTGTCGTTTTCAGATAAGGGGGTGGATTTGGAAATGTGTAGAATAAAGTGTACGAAAAGTACAAAATAGTACCAAATTTTGTATATAGAAATGGTCTAGAATTGTGATTTAAATGAATTTTGGTATAAGATCACAGTGGATGTGTCGGATTTAAACAATTGGAAATGTATAGAATATAGTGTACGGAAAAAATTGGTATAGAGTGTAGGAACATAAAATGTAGATTTATGTATTTTGGTAAGACGATCATAATGGGTGTGAAGGGCTTATACAATGGGATATATGGAAATACGTTCTTTATAGTATACGACTAGTACTGAACGGAACTCGATTTTAAAAGTAGTGTATTTCGAGTACTAGAAAAAGTAATAAATGTACCTTATCGAAGAAGTCAAGCAAGAATTTAACAATTTGTCATTAGGGTCACTGTCAGTGGGAAAGGGTGATATATGATGAGATTTTCCAAAATTCGTATTTCAATGGTATAGTATGGTATGGGGTGTAATGAGTCAGGATTTTTGGAAGTTCGCACTTCAAGACAACGATAAGTACCAGAAGGTACGAAATTGTAATTGTAACGTACCTAGTCGAAATAACGGTTTTAGACCCTAGATCTCTTTGGACCAAATACGTTTCAGAACATTTGGAGTCGATCTATCGATGTCCGTCCGTCCGTCTGTATATCTGGATATCTGGTGCGCACGATAACTCTCGAAGGGAGTATCCGATTTGGTCCAAAATTGGTACATCGTAATATTTTTGTCAAACTTAGATCGCCTTTGGAGATGGGCAATATCGGTTCACTCCTTCTGGTACCTCCACCACAAAAGGTCGAAATTTTCCAAAAAAAATATATTTTTTGCACAGAAAGAGAAAGGATAATCCGATTTTGCTTCAACTTTGCAAATCCTAATATTTGCGTTAACACTAGCCTTCTGGTACCTCACCCACAGCCTTCTGGTACCTCACCCACAGCCTTCTGGTACCTCACCCACAAAAAATATATTTTTTGCACAGAAAGGGAAAGGATAATCCGATTTTGCTTCAACTTTGCAAATCCTAATATTTGCGTTAACGCTAGGTCAGGTGTGAAAATGGATAATATCGGTCCACTCCTTCTGGTACCTCCATTACAAATGGTCAAAATTTTGGTCATAAAATGTGATGTAAGAGTCCGATTGTCTTCAAATTTCACACATCCCAATATTTATATCAACCCAAGGTCTGGTGTTAAGATGGAGTATATCGGTCCACTCCTTCTGGTACCTCCCCGCAAAAGGTCGTTTAATTATGTTAAACATTTTTACGACCATCTCAATTCCAGATACCAATAGAGGCCTCAACACCAAATTTGAAGAATCCAGGTCTATCCCTTCGTACCATTTAGTACTTTTCGTACAAATATAGGACGAATTTCCTCCGACACCATCAGTAACCTAAATATCATATTTCAGAATTTTATCTCAATTCCTTCACCCAATACCAAATATAGTACAATTCAGCACTTTTCATACAATTATAGTACAACCGCATCCATTTGATCAAGCTACACCTGAAAAGCGGCCTAATACCAAAATTGTAAAAAATATAGTACTATTTAGTACCTTTCGTGCACTTTTACAACACATTTCCAAAACTAATGTTAATTCTTAATGCAATACACTAAGTGTGATCATAATGACAATTTTTTAAGTTCAAGAAATATCAGTACCATTTAGAACCTTTCGTACTCTTGCTAAACGAATTTCCAACTCCAACTCTTTATCTCAATCCTACCCATCAGCAAAGACCCCAATACCAATATTTCAAATTACCAGTTTCTTACGGTCACACAAAACGGACTTGTACCAAATTTAATACCAATTAACACAGTCCGTACATTTCCAAAACCACATCCTAACAGCCAGTCAAATAATTCCGAATGGTACCAAATGTAGTGCATTTACGTGCGTTTCGTCCTTTTTGTGATAAAAAAATAGCGGTAACTCTGTTAAAGCACGCGACGCGAGTTCAAAACTCTGTCCAAGGAGATAAAACTGCAATGGCTTTTGCGGTTTTACTGCAGCAAAAATGTCAAAGGACCTACGTTTAGCAAAATGACAATGTGAAAAAGCTAACATTAAAATAATAGCCCACAATTTATGCGGTTAACACATGAGATAATAAACCAATTTAGTTAAAAACATTTCTTGTTTATCTAGGCGAGAACAAACGAGATGTCAAAGAACCTGTATAAAGTATAAAATAGGAAAGAAAAAAAAAAACAGAACAGAATTTTAAATCTTAAATTTAATGATAAAAAAAAAAAAAAACTGTAAATTCGGCCGGGCCAAACTTTGAATACCCTCCACCATCTGGTACAAATTTGGCAATTTTCAAAAAAAAAAAAATCCGAATGTAGCTCTTTAGGTCTTTACGACGACGTGGACCTGCAAAGGCAATTTTTGTCATAATCCATTACAATATTCAAAAGCGAAACTTGAGAAATAATCGTTGAATAATGTAGCCAAACTAATCAAAATACCGAATATAGGGAGGTACCATTATATGGGTTCTACACGAAGACGTGGATCTGCACAGATAATTTTCTGTCATAGGCTGTAGCATCCATTACGAACTTCAAGTACCAAATTTGAAACTATTGGGGTGCATAATGTTGCTAAATTTATCAAAATACCGAATATTGGGAGGTACCGTTATATGGGGGCGATGGGGACCTACACAGCCAATTTTCTGTCTTAGGCTGTAGTATTCATTTCGAACTTCAAACAATAAAATTTAAAAGAATTCCGGTAAATAATGTCGCTAAAATCATCAAAATACCGAATATGTGGAGGCTATACGAAGACGTGCACATGCACAGACAAATTTCTGCATTACACTGTAATAACCATTACAAACTTCAAACACCAACATTTGAAACAATACTGGTGAATAATGTCGCTAAAATCATCAAAATACCGAATATCGAGAGGTACCATAAAATGGGGGCTATACGAAGATGTGTACCTACATGGCCCATTTACGAACTTAACCTGCCTCCTGGCAAAATAAACATGTGTGCAAAATTTTAGCCTTCTATCTCAATTCGTTCAAAAGATAGCGTGATAACAACAGACGGACAGACAGACGGACATGACTAAATCAACTTTGATTTTTACTGTAATCAAGAATATATCTACTTTGTTGGGTTAGGAAGTATTTTTTCACGGTTTTTTTTCTCAATAATTACACTGGTCACTAGTAAACGATGGGAAATGTTGTGGTTCATAAATGTTCTACTGAAATTGATTTCAGGACATTTAGGGTTACATAGAACGTTTGGGTTTAATATATACACAAATCAATTGAATTATAGAAAGTACTGAAACCTTACCTACACTTTTCCCACCAAAATATGAAGGTTCACATTAAAAAGCAGCTCCGTGCTTTTCAAAGGAATCCATTAATAATTTTTAATTCAGAACCTTAAAAATTAACTACTCACGTTTTCTTCAAATTACCATTTCCAAATATTTGAAATTCTAAAATACACAAAAATATTTAAAAACTAACATCTTCTTCTCCCCACTAATCTTCCCGAAGATTTCCACCCAGATAGCATAAAGTGTTTATTTAATTTGCTACACCCACAACAATAACAACATCCACACTAAACCACAACATCAACCAAAACAACATTTACTTTCTTCTACTCTCTACTCTTTATTACATCTTGTTTAGCATTCGTTACCGCCAGTGCCGGCAATCATAAAACTTGCTGACATTTAATTGTCGTTGTTAACTTAATTAAAACTAATATTATTTCGTTTATATTTTCTCCCATTTCATGTGCCATGGAACGCTGCCACATCCATCCCACAATCGTAACATGTCACATCGCATCGCAGATACCCGACAGTGGGCTGACATACCTTTCCGAGCGCATACTGTTATTTCGTCACGATTACAACAGTCCCAATGTTCTGCACATCATAAATTCAGCAGCGGATATTGCCGATGAAACTTTGGTGGAAATTGTTCTCGTAGCCAGTCGTAAGTAGATGTTGAAATTTGAATCATTTTTTTTTAAATTGGAATTTATGTGGATGTTATGAATTTAAATGGAAAATATAAGTAAACTTATATGAAATGTTAATGTTATGTTGTAATAGTTAAAATGTACTATAACCGAAGTTAGTTTTGACGATATTTCAAATCAATCGATATGGCTTTTTCCTCCGGCCCCAACACGATTAATTTCAGAAAACATCTGAATGATGATTTTAGTTATCATACATTGCTAAACATAAAATATACCGCAAAAACAGCTAGGTAAACAAACACCAAAAAGCATAAATAAATCAAATCAAATATAAATCAGGTTCTCATTTTTTTAACACGCTAATTTATATTTTTAGATAAAATGAACTATTTTTGCACATGGCCAAAAATATTGGTCTTAAATAATTATTTGTTTGAAGCTTGTTAATGTAAGACAAGTTAAAAAGCAGCCAACTTTGATATGGCCGAACTTTTAATACCGTCCACCATTTTTAAGCATCTTATATAATTTCAAAAGAATCCGTCGAAAATACCACTTAAATGAAAACCGTTATATGGGGAATATCGTCATAGGCTGTAGATATGATTCCGAAATTCAAATACGAAATTTGAAACAATTCTGTTGAATAGTGTCGCAAATATCATCAAAATATCGGTTAAAGGGCGGTACCGTTATATGTGGGCTATACGAAGACGTGGACCTTCATAGAAAATTTTCTGGCAAATGTTATATGACTCATTACAAGCTTCAAACTTTAAATACGAAATTTGAAACAATTCTGGTCAAAAATGTGGCTAAAATCAACAAAATACCGAAAATCGGGGGAACCGTTATATGGGGGCTATGCGCGATAGTGGACCTATATAGACAATTCTCTTTCAGGGGTAAAGTACTTAGAAGGAACGCCTGATGTGGTATTTCAGACAATTCTATTGAAAAATATGTCTACAATCATCAAAATGCCGAATATCGGAAGGTACCGTTATATGGGGCTATACGATATAGTGGACCGATATAGCCCATCTTCAAACTTGACCTGCCTGCAGACAATAACCTAATCTGTGCACACTTTAAGCTTCTTATCTTAATTCGTTTTGACTCTAGCGTGATTACAACAGACGGGCGGACGGACGGACGGACAGTGCTAAATCGTCTTAGATATTCACTCTGATCAATATACAATACAGGGTGAAATGAAAAAACTGCAATCAACTTCAGACTGCTGCCATTTCTAACCACTCGTTCGACAGCTGTAAAATTATTCCAGTGACAGCTCATTATATTGTTTACAAGCGTACAAAAGCATTTTGGTGAGAATTTTGCAGAAAAAATGTTATTCGTGATGAAATTCAAGCGTGATGGTGTGATTTCCTTATATTTGGCTGGAAACCCACAAGTGGCTGTCGTTAGAGCCCTCCAGCATTTAAATGTGAATAAATCTTTTGTGTTTCGTATCATCGCTCGTAGCCCGACGTCAAGGAAGTGGACGGAAGAAAACATCAACATCAGCAGAAATGGTTCGAAAAGTAAAAAAGCGACTTGATCGAATCCCGCATCGCAGTGTCCGAAAAATGGCTCGTGAGCTGAACATATCGCAATGTTCCATTCAGCAAATATTGAGAAATGAACTCGGGGTAAAGCTATTGAAATTCCAAAAAGTGTAAGAACTTACGCCGCAACCAGAAAGTAAATAGACACAAAAGAGCTAAAGAGTTGCTTCGCTTTGTCAAAAGTGATAAACTGTCGAATTTGGTTTTCTCCGAAGAGTTTTTCTTCTAATCTTAAACTTTTTCTAAAATTTGATGCTATTTTCGACATTTGTTGCTTTCATTCAATAAAATTTAAAAAAAAATGTAAAACCTATGACGTTTGGCTTTGTTGCAGTTTTTTATCTCACCCTGTATGTTGTACCTATTTTGCTATGTACCCGATACTTGGCTATCAGTATCACTGTAACGGTCAGAATCGTAATGTTAATGTCTTTGTGATATTAAAAGTATTCGCGGTTTGGTGGAAATTTTCGTATTTTTATTTTATACCCTACGCCACATAGTGGTTAGGGTATAATGCCTTTGTGCTTTTTTTTTTGTAAGATGCAGAAGGAGGCGAGATAGACCCATAGTTAATTTTGAGGATCTTCAGAGAATCACTTTCTGAATCGAGGTATATAAATATATCTGATATATATCTTCAAACAATTTCGGATTAATTGTGCACCAAATGACCTATATTTTGGTACATTGGTACATCGGTTCAGATTAAGATATAGCTACCATATATATCTTTATTCGATGTCAGGTTTATTTTGCAATTAATTGCTAATATCAATCCAAATGGACTAATTTTTGGTAATTACAACTGAATTCATCCTAGAAGCCAGCCTTTCAAGTTTGATGTAAATCGATTCAGATATAACTATATATCCCACTAGCTGGCCCGCTCCATGTTGCCGGCCCGTAGTTTAAGTCGTTAATGCATACTTTTAAAAGCGTAGTAATTCACAGGTATGGCCCACAGTAATGGGCCTGGAAGGTACGGTTATATGGGAATATACCAAAATATATAGCTATGTTGAAATTATTCTGTATGATGGGTCTCAACAACTCAACAAATCGATTGGAAAATGTGTTCAAGGCCCTCGAAATAGGTAAAATCAGGAGGTAGGTTTCTATGAGCGCTGCTCCGACTCATTGACCTACATTTAGCATTTTTTGAGAAGAGTCTTTCTACTTCCTTAGAAACCAAGATGTCAAAAAAGGGCAAAATCAATTGAAAAATGTGACCATTTTTGAGGGTTAAAACAAAAAGGGTTAAAACAAAAAGTAGGCTTATATTGCTAGGATTGTATTTTCTCACTAAGAACTCAAATTACCAAAATTTGCCGAAATTAGTATGACAAATATGGCTGACATATAAAAAATACTTGAAATCGGGATATACCCTTATGTGGGGACTATACCAAGACTATACCAACGCCATTAGCTTGTGTCAAATGTAAAAGCTCTATCTTCAATTTTTCGAAGCTTGGAGCAAAATATTTGAGGCCCTTTGCGTATGGTTAAGGCTATATAAAATGGTCGGTAAAAAGGTTTGTCCTGGGAACCCAAAACCCTTTTGGGATTTTGATCTACTAACCGAATACTATTCACTTAGAATTTCCCAAACGCCAGATTGGCTGTTGCACATTGTCATTACTCGCTATTGCGCATAGTACCCCTTATATTGGTATCGACGATTTAAAATCTCTTGAAGGTTTCTGAAGAATCTTTGGGAGATTATAAATCCATTTCTTACTAAATTTCCAATTAGCTCTACTTTTTTGTTTAATCCGCATATTGCAGGTCCCCATTTATATTAGGTATTTTAATGATTGAAGTCTCAACGAATTTTGTGAAAATCGATTCAGAATTGGATATGCTTCCCCCATAATAGTTCCCTCTGAAACCAATCTATAACTTCTCTAAAGCCAAATGTTCATAGGTAGTATGATCTGCTTCAAATAAATTCTTTTGTTACAGGAGCTTCACTAAATATTAATAGTGGTGTAGGGTATCATATAGACGGCCCGCCAGACTTTTGACTTTTCCTTACTGGTTTAATATTATCCCTTTCGAAATCATATCATGCACTCTATAGCAATGTTATTTGGTGAGAGAGGTACAGATGCCTCCGTCAAATTTGGACGAAATCGATTCAAAGTTGGATATACCTCCCATACATTAGTTCCTTCTGATTGCAAATTATACGCCAAAATACGCATTATAAAAAGTTCCATAGATGATAAACGTTTATTTGTTACGGATAGCACTACTAAATATGCATAGTGGTTTAGGTTATCATATAGTCGGCCCAGCCAACTCTACTCCCTTTTTAACTGGTTTTTACTTAAAACTGATTTTGGAACAATTATCTCAGTTACATTTAAAAACAACCACACGCTGTTCAATATATGTTGGTACCTTATTAAATACCATGGCCCAGAATTTAGTTAGTTCGAGACACGGACATGAGATACTTCTTAATTTCCTTTCTAAGCGATTATTTGTGTGTTTTTGGCTTTTCTGTATAGAAAGTTAGATTCTCAGAAGTCATTATCGTCATTTGAAGAGCAGATTTGTTTAAACACTCATTAGTTAATATTCCCAAAGGATATACAAATTGGGCTTTTTAGTTTAAATATTGTAGACACTGCAGATTTTCAACCACTTTCGTAAAAGTGTATTAAAAAACTGGCATTCTTAATTTGTATATAAGACCTCTGGATAAATATTAATAAAATAAATGGTTTTTTAATTATTCAATAAACAATTTACAATATTTTTCTCTTTTAATTTCCTTCCTTTTTCCTTCAATTTCCTCGCAGCAATTTTATATCCAGCCTCAGAGATGCCAACCCTAAAACCGCACAATCTCAATGTCCATTCCTATAAGGCGCCAACATTCTGTGATTTTTGTGGTGAGATGTTGTTTGGTTTAGTGCGCCAAGGACTGAAATGTGATGGTATGTATTGACGATATCCCTGTTGAACTTTTCAAACATTTTCTTTTGGCATTTTTTTTTTTTTTGTAACCACAAATTTATAATTAATGGATTTTTATAACGGTTATTATTTTTTCCCTCATTCATTTCGCCCTCGTTCGTTTAGGTTGTGGTCAAAATTATCATAAACGTTGTGTGGTTAAAATCCCCAATAACTGTAATCGTTCGAATAATAACAGTGGCAACAGTTCAAAACGTTCCTCCCTGCTACAACCACCCCGAAGTCCATCGGGTGGCTCAACACAATCACTTATCTCCAATGACGAACAGCAGCAGCAGCATGCAGTCAATCATGAATCTGGAAGTTCTCTGGTAAAACGGATGTCTGATCTTATGAATGATATTATTAAGTAGTAGTTGAACAGGCAAAACAAAAACAAATAATAGTAGCATTCCATTTGAAATTAATTAACGTTAAATAACATAGAAAATGACACTAGCATAGGAGTAATGATAACTGAGGCTTACATTGGATTGCAATATTTTGATATTAAAAAAAATGTTATACTCGAATTAACACCACATCCAAAGTCATTACTGTCAAGTTTATTTTCTTCTTTATCCTTCTTGTAGTTGACGGTTTTTCCATTAATAATACTCTAACTATAAAATGTATAAAATTTTATATCATAACATGAACCAAGGTTAACATTATTTTTTTAATTTAAGTATCAAATACTTGGCTGAAGATGGATGAAAATGATTATTAGAATAATCGAAAATGATTACTTTTTACACCAAAATTCCTTCAACATTTTCTTTAAAGTTAATCTTATTTTGGTTCCACATCCAATTTTTTTGCCCAAAACTATTTCAACGTCTTTTCATAATAAAAATTTTCCAGCAGCACATCTAAATCCCAGAAACCAACAGAGACCTCAAAATCAAATTTCAGGATTCAAACACTATCCATTCACTCAACGGAAAATATAGTTTCATTTAATACTTTTCGAAAAATCGTATCCATCTCCTTCTCTCGAAACTATGTACCAACAGTGCCCTCCATATCCACCCAATCCAGACTCTAAGACCCAATCCCAAATTTATTACCAAACTTTTCATACAGTTATACTGCACATGTCCAAAACCACCTCTTTCTCTGCGCCCAAAACACCTAGAGTGCCTTACTACTAAATTTCAGAATTCCATCACTATCCACATTTTGTGACATTCTGCACTTTTCGTACGTTCATAGTACGCATTTCTAAAAACAGCTCCCTCTCTCAACTACAGACACCAACATTGACATCGACGTCAAATTTCAGGATTTCAGCTCTATTCCTTCACCCGATACCCAATTCTATAATATTAACTACTTTTCAGCATATCCAAACCACGGTCAAATCTCAAACACAGATACTATCAGTGATCTAAATATTAAATTTCAGAATTTTATCTTTATCCCTTCATCCAAAATCAACTATAGTACCATTCAGTACTATTCGTACAATTAGAGTACGCAATCCTTATCTCAATCCCAGATACCAACAGAATCCTTAATAACAAATTTCGGGATTCAAGTTTTATCCCTTCACCCGAAACTCAATATAGTACCATTTATAGGAAGCATAGATACCATCAGTAATCTTAATATCAGATCTCAGAATTTTATTTCTATCCCTTCGCCCAATACCAAATTAGTACCATTCAGTACTTTTCGTACAATACGAGAAGGCATTCCCAAATCACCCTCCATATCTCAATTGCAGATACCAATAGAGACCTCAATATCAAATTTGAGGATTTCATCTCTATCGCTTCACCCAATAACCAATTTACTACTATTTAGAACCATTCGTGCGAATATAGGATTAATTTCCAAACCACCCCCAAATCACAAACACAGATACCATAAGTAAACTAAATATGAAATATCAGAATTTAATCTCTATTTCTTCACACAATTACAACTCAGTACTTTTCATACAATTATAGTATACGTTTCCGAAAACACCTTCATATGTCCGGGCTACACATAGACAACAACAATAATATCAAATTTCTAAATTTCAACCAAAACCAAATTGTACCAAATGTAGTTCTATTTAGTACTTTTCGTGCACTTTAAGAACATATTTCCAAAACCGCTCAAACTTTCTTTTCAACCTCAATTCTCATACCGAATTTCAAGATTTTAGCTCTATTATTTCACATGATACCAAATAGTACCATTTTGAGAAGTTTAATTCCATTTAAGAATATTTCGAAACCTTAAAGTTCGAAATTCCAAAAAGCCTTTGGTACATAAATCATGCACTCCGTCAGTGACTCCCATTCCAAACTTCAGAATTCAAGCTTATTGAGTTTGTCCACTACAAAGTATTCAATTAGTATGAATTTTCAAAATATTTTAGAATATCACACGTCTGCGCACCAAGATTGGCCCTCGCGCCAAGACTCCAGCCTCAGACTTTTTTCTGGGCGTTGATTCTAGATCAGTCAATTAGTCAGTTATTTCACTACCCTGCACCGTACTATGGAGGCGTTGTTGACCCAACAAAGTAAATATATTTTGGTCAGCTTAAAGTTCTAAGTCTATTTAGCGATGTCCGTCTGTTCCAATCGCACTACAATAGATAGAAAGCTAAAATGTTGCACACATCTGTATTTTACGAGTATGTAGGTAAAATTCGTTAATGGGCCATGTCGGTTCACGTTGTCGTATATCCCCCATATAATTGTATCTCCCGATATTCTGTATTTTGACGCTTAAGATCACATTTACTATCAAAATTGTTTAAAATTCGATACTTAGACTTTGAAACGGGTTCCACCTCCTGTGGCAGAGCATTGTCTGTATATGTATGTGTTCTCTTATAGACCCCATATAACAGTACCTTCCGATATTCGGTAGTTGTATTTATTTGGTATTCTGATGATGATGATTTCAAGAGGTTTTTTTTTAAAATTTGGTTTGTAGAGTTTGTAATGAATTCTGTCTTCTGTGACAGACGCTCATAAGGCCGTACCTTTGGAATAATTAATGTTTTGTTGATTTTAGCAAAATTTTTAAATAGATTTTTTTATAAAATTTGGTATTTGGAGCCGGAAACAGGCACCACCCATTTTGCGGCATTTTAAGACTTATTACCAACCGATCTTACTTACGAAAATGGAAGTGGAGCCAATATTCAATCCCGATTCATTTATTTTCATATGTTTACTTTAACTCATGGTGGATGTTATTGGAACGTTCGCTCTGCCAAACTTAGCGCGTTTTTATACCCTCCATCACATATAGTATGGAGGGTATATTAAGTTCCTCATTCTGTTTTGTAACTCATTGAAATAATAATTTAGCGTAAAATTCTAAGACGATCTAGCGATGTCCGTCTGTCTGTCGGTCTGTTGTAATCACACTATTTCGAACGAATTGAGATAGAAGCTAAAATTTTGCATACATGGATAGTTTACCAGTAGGCAGGCTAAGTTCGTAAATGGACCATGTCGGTCAGCGTTTTCGTAAGCCCCAATATAACGGTACCTCCCGATATACGGTATTTTCATGATTTTAGCGACAGTATTTACCGGAATTATTTCAAATTTCATATTTAAAGTTCGTAACGGGTACTACAGCATATGACAAACAATTTTGAGTGCAGGTCCACGTCTTAATATAGCCCCCATAACGGAACCTACCGATATTCGGTATTTTCATGATTTCAGCAACATTATTTTCCGGAATCGTTTCAAATTTCATATTGGGAGTTTTTAATGATTACTACAAGCTATGGAAAAATACGTATGCAGGTCCATGTCTTCGTATAGCCCCTAAATAACGGTTCCTCCAGATATTCGGTATTTTGATGATTTTAGCCACATTTTCAATGGAATTATCTGAGAATTCACACAAGAAGTTCCTTGTGCGTATTTTATTCCCTAGAAGAGAATTGTCTATATATGTTCACGATATCGTATAGCCCCCATATATAGATACCCCCTAATTTCCGGTATTTTCATGATTTCAGCCAAATTTTTTAATGGAATTATCTTAAAATCCACAAAAGGAGTTCCTTGTGAGTACATTATCCCTTGGAAGAGAATTGTCGATATAGGTCCACGATATCATATATCCCCTATATAACGGTTCCTCTCGACATTCGTTATTTTAATGATTTTTGCGACATTATTCACCGGAATCGTTTCAACTTTCGTATATAAAGTTCGGAACCGTTACTACAGCCTATGACACAAGTTACTTATGCAGGACCACGTCTTTGTTTAGCCTCGATATAACGGTTTTCATTTGAAAGCATTTTCCGACTGTTTTTTTTTTTTTTTTGGAATTTTTCACGTTTCTTCCAAATGGTGGAGTGTATAAAAAGTTCGGTCCGGCCGAAGCTTGCTACTTTTTTATTTGTTACTATTTAATTTTTCTTTCAAACGGTATAAAACGTTTGGTATTATCTTTATATAGGTACCGCTGGATTTAAGTGGAAAAAGTTCGAATATATATCCCGGTGTAGTGTATAGTTTATTGTACTATAATTGCTTATTATTCAAGCCAAGTTTTAGTGTGTTTTTCATATAAAAATTATTGTCCTTAATTCTCATGCTTCGTGCTAGTGTCATTCCACATATATGTATGTACTTAACAAATCATTTATAATCCAAATATAGATAGGCGATGTTTAAATTGATTATATACAATAATTTCAATATTAGACTTAATTATTTTTTTCAACAATGCTAAAGCAACTTAAAGCAATATTGGTGATGGGTAACGAACTTAAGACATACTTTATCCGTAATTTAGAATCTCAGTTTTATACTCTTAAGATTTATGATGGTATTTTTTCTTTAACTTAAATATAATTATTAATTTGGGAAGATTTTGTGATTAATTGTTTAATCAAAAACTGGAATAACCAGCCAAAACTCATTACAAATTGGATGAATTACCCAGGCTCGACATAAGTGGTCTGTTCCAAAACTGCAAGAATGTACAAATTTTTACTACGATTTTCCCCTTATGATATCGAAAAAAAAAATGTAAAACTAGTAGATTCTAACAGGTTCTGGACCAGAGCAAAAGTTATTCCTTGGTGAAAAAAATAATTATTTGTTATGAGTTTTGTTGTTATTAGATATGCGAATCAACTTTAAGCAGTTAAAAGGGATTTTTGTAATTGCGGACAAGTGAAAATTCCAATTAGTGTCTTTCTTCTTAGTATTAACCTAGATCCCAGTAAGTTAAGGAAACGATACTCATTCAAGCGAAACGAAATTAAAAGTTTTTTTTTTAATTTTTGTTCTTATTTCACATTAAAAACCACTTGATTAACCAATTAATCACTCCTTGATAGATATTTTTTTTGTAATCAATGTACTTATTATCTCTTATGTATTTTACTTTTAATCCCTTTTGTTAATTGTTCTTATAATCAATCATTTTTTTTAATTTCTTTTGTTTAACACTTAATAAAAAAATCAAATTAAATCGTTTTTATTGTTGTGTTTTTTTCTTCAATTTTGCGTTTTACTTTTAATTTCCTTTCGCTTATTGTTTTGAGTACGTTCATTAATTAATATTTGCTTAGGCTTTAATTTTTAACCATTAATAATGTCCTAAAAGGGGGTGGGGTGGAAGTGATGCATTAATACCCTCCTCAGTGGTGGGTAAGGAATAATTAAAATCTGTCATTTATTGTTTGTTCAGGCTCAAGAATGAAGAAATATTGCAAAAGGCTTTGTTATAATACCAACCTTTGCCTCATGGCTACAAAAGGGTAAATATTAGTTGATGCTACCAAAATGTGCCTCGTCAAAATAACGGTTTGCATGAAATCCATTTTAGGCCATTTGGAGTCGATCTGGCCTTTCAACCTATTCTTCAAACAAAATTTGAAAACCAAACAGGAAAAATTAAGAAAAGCTGGGCAGATCTTTGAATACCCTCCACCATTCGGAAGAAACTTGAAAGATTTCAAAATATTTCGTCGGAAAATACGGCTCAAATGAAAACCGTAATATGGGGGCTATAAGAAGACGTAATCCTGCATATGTAATTTGTGTCATAGGCTGTAGTAACGGTTCCGAACTTTATATACGAAATTTGAAACAATTCTGGTGAATAATGCCGCAAAAATCATGAAAATACCGACTATCTGGGGTACCGTTACATGCGCGCTATACTGAAACGTGGAAGTATTTAGATAATTCTCTTCTAGGGGGTAAAGTACTCAGAAGGAATCCCTTGTGTGGATTTTAAGACAATTCCATTAAACAATTTGTCTGAAATCTTCAAAGTACCGAATATCGGTGGGATACTATTATATGGGGGCTATAAGATATCGTGGACCTATATGGACAATTCTCATCTAAGGAATAAAGTACTCACAAGGAACTGTCTGTGTGAATTTTCAGGCAGTTTCGTTGAAAAATATGGCTAAAATCATCAAAATACCGAATATGGGGTGTACCGTTATATGGGGGCTATACGATGTCATGGACCTATATAGACACTTCTCCTTTAGGGAATAAAGTACTCACAAGAAACTCCCTGTGTGAATTTTCAGGCAGTTTCGTTGAAAAATGTAGCTTATATATATCGTGGACCGATATAGACATTTCTCTTCTAGGGGATAAAGTACCGTCTTCGAACTTGACTTGCCTGTAGACAAAAGACAGATCTGTGCAAAATTTTATCTTCCTATCTTAATTAGTTTTGATTGTAGCGTGATTAAAACAACCGGACCGACAGGGCTAAATCGTCTTAGAATTTTGCGCTGATCAAGAATACAAATACTCACTTGGTTTATTATTATTATTTTGGTGAGTTACAAACGGAATGACGAACCCTCCATACTATGGAGTGGAGGGTATAAAAAATCCCGCCTTATCTCAAACCTTTCCACTATCAATGACCCTATTGCCAAATTTTTTAAACCGAGTCGAATTTCATATTATTGTCAGAACAGGCAAACTTAAAATCCGTATTTCACAGTTTGAGCACCTCGAAATATACCCCTTAAGTATATATATTCTTGATCAGCATAAAATTCTATGTCGATTTAGCTATTTCCGTCCGTATCTGTAGTCTGAGGAAATCACTTTAGCTTCCTAACGAAATAAAGTATGTTAATAAAAATTTACTTAAATGTGTATTATGTCTGCAGGACTTTTGGTATTGAAAATGGGATATGTAGGTCTACGTCTTCGTATAGCCCCCATATAACGATAGCTCTCGACATTCGGTATTTTGATGATTTTAGCGACATTATTTACCGGAATTGTTGCAAATTTGGCATTTGAAGTTCGTAATGGATATTACAGCCTAAGACAGAAAATGGGGCATGTAGGTCCACGTCTTCGTATAGCCCCATATAATGGTACCTCCCGATTTTTAGTATTTTTATGATTTAGGCGACATTATTTACCGGCATTGTTTCAAATTTGCTGCTTGAAGTTCGTAATGCATACAACAGCCTATAACGGAAAATTGTTCGTGCAGGTCCACGTTTTCGTATAGCCCCCATATAACGGTACCTCCCGATATTCGGTATTTTGATGATTTTAGCGACATTATTAACCGGAATTGTTTCAAACTTAGTATTTAAAGTTCGAAATGGATACTAATATTCACCGCATTTTTTTCAAGTTTTGCATTTGAGTTTTGCAATGGTATATGACAAAATTTGCCTATGCAGGTCCATGTCGTCGTATATACCCTAATATAATGGCTGAAAGAATTTCTGACGGATTTCTTTTTTTTTGAAAATTGCCAAATTCTTTCCAAAAGGTGGAGGGTATTAAAAGTTCAGCTCGGCCGAGCTTATAGCTTTTTTACTTGTTGGGATATGAAATGCTGCAACAGTATTAAAGAAGCCATGCAATTTTGATTGAGGGTCACTCTTTGGTGAAATATGATGGCGAACAATTTTACAGAATTATTATGAAGCGATTAGCCTGCATTAGGAATGGTAAATGTGCCGTCTGATTGGTAGTTGAAAGACCTTTGTCTGATTTTCTACCAAGAGAATACCTTATACCGGTATTTTATCAATAGGTCGCATATAGATAAAAAAAGTCTGATTATAGAAAAGGGTATCCGATAGCAGAATAGTTTTTTGAGTATAGAACAATTCAATCTCCTTGATATGACGAAACTTTACTTCAGGAAATTCGGTCAAAATGTATATTAACTTTTCAAACAAATTCTCATTTTACAGAGCGTGCCAACATTTCACAGAAGTCATCATCGTTCTTCCTCAGCGGGTAGCAGAAATGGCCAACAACCCTCACCATCACCAGGTCTTTATAATAATGCCGGTATATGCGCCACCAGTTTAGCCTACCAGAACATTCGAATACCACACACATTTATGGTCCACACCTATGGCATTCCAACCGTCTGTCAATATTGTAAAAAGCTACTCAAGGGCCTGTTTAAACAGGGCCTACAATGCCGCGATTGCCAATATAATACCCATAAGAAATGTATGGATAAAGTGCCACAAGACTGTACCGGCGAGAGACAGCTGCACCCGAATGATTTCAATGAAACCTTCACCCCAACCCACGGCAGCATGTCGCACAAGGAACGTGATAACTTCTTCCGGGAAGAATTTGATGATAGTGATTTCGATGAGGCCACATCGAATGAACACATCCGTGGAATGGGTACTGCTGTCGGCAGTGGCATGGCCCATAAAACGGGTGGACGTCCCGGATCGATGGGCGTAAAGACCACAACAAATGCTCAAAATTCTCCGCCAGAATTAGTTAATGGTCTCAAGGGCAGCGACAGTGAACACTCAACGTATCACAACGAAAATCGTAGTGCCGCCGAAGGACAATCCATAGATGGACAATCGGAACAGTCGAGTTCATCCTCATCGCCAAGTGCCAATATTCCGCTTATGCGTATCGTACAATCAGTGAAACACACCAAGAAACGTGGCGGCCAAGCTCTGAAAGAGGGTTGGCTGGTACACTACACCAGTTTGGATTCAACGGTCAAACGTTATTTCTGGCGTTTGGATTCGAAAACGATTACCCTGTTTATTTCCGAACAGGGCAGTAAATATCACAAAGAGATCCCCCTGGCCGAGATCCAAGCCATTGAAACGAACAATGATGTCCGCGTAGATAATAATTATTGTTTCCAATTGAAAACTCCCAATGTCAACTATTATGTGGGTCAAGACCCGCTAGCTGGGGTGAGAGAGGAACAGGCTGTACGTTTGCCACCACCGGAAAGTGGTATTGGCACAGATATTGGTAAAAGTTGGGAAACGTCCATTAAACAGGCCTATATGCATGTCACAAATACCCGTAAGTTGATGTTGGTAGAATTTTTGGAAAGTTTTATCAAATTTAACTGTTACTATTTTTACAGAATGCTGTGAGTCTGAGGAAAATGTCCAGGATATGGGTCAACTGTATCAAATCTTCCCCGATGAAGTTTTGGGTTCAGGTCAATTCGGTGTGGTCTATGGCGGTGTCCATAAGAAAACAAAGCGAGAAGTTGCCATCAAAGTTATCGATAAATTGCGTTTCCCAACCAAACAAGAAGCTCAGCTTAAAAATGAAGTTGCCATATTACAGGTAGGATTTTTGTTGGATATCTCCAAATCGGAGAAAATCGGTAGTTTGTAATATAAAATGGCCTTTCTGATGGAAAAGTTGCTATATAATACCAGCTATATAAAGGATGATTAAAGAGGAAGAGGAAAGTGATACACGCTCTGTTCAGGAACGTACACTTAGACTACGATAAAGAGTTTTTGTAGTATTAGATTCATGCGGACTCTAAGACAGACCAATAATATTTTTCGAAATTATAAAGGACAACAAACTGCAACAACGTCAAATGTGACAATTTTTGACTTTTAAACCCTCCTCCATAGTATGGAGGGTATATTAAGTTTGTCATACCAATTGTAACACCTCGAAATATACATTTTAGACCCCACAAAGTATATATATTCTTGATCAGCATAAAATTCTATGTCGATTTATCAGTGTCCGTCAGTCTGTCCGTCTGTGGAAATCACTCCAGCTTCCGAACGAAATTAAGTACGTTGATAAAATTTTACTCAAATGTGTATTATGTCTGCAGGACTTTTGGTATTGAAAATGGGCCATGTAGGTCTACGTCTTCGTATAACCCCCATATAACGGTACCTCCCGATATGCGGTATTTTGATGATTTCAGCGACATTATTTACCGGAATTGTTTCAAAATAAATATTTAAAGTTCGTAATGGATACTACATTCTAAGACAGAAAATGAGCCATGTAGGTCCACGTCTTCGTATAGCCCCCATATAACGGTACCTCCCGATATTGGGTATTTTGATGATTTTAGAGACATTATTAACCGGAACTATTTCTAATTTAGTATTTGAAGTTCGTAATGGATACTACAGCCTATGACAGAAAATTATCTGTACAGGTCCACGTCTTCGTGTAGCCCCCATATAACGGTACCCAGCCCATTACACATTTTCAGCTGACCTCTTTGCCAAGTTAACACGATCATTTTGTTTGTTTATAAACGGAGAAAACTAAATTCGGCAGATCACCACTTTCGGTCTAAGTAAATCTATAGCTCTTTTGAGTCTATTTTCTTTCTCTTTCGGTGTAAGTTCTTGCACTTTTTGGAATTTCAATGGCTTGACCCCGAGCTCAGTTTTCAATATTTGCCGAATGGAATATTGCGATATATTCAGCTCACGAGCCATTTTTCGACCACTGCGACGCGGGTTCGATCAAGTCGCTTTTTTACTTTTTCGAACCATTTCTGCTGATGTTGCTATTTTATTCCGCCCTCTTCCTTGGCGTCAGGCTACACTGACAATATCAAGATAACGGGCGATGGTACGAGACACAAAGAATTTATTCACATTTAAATGCTGGAGTGCTCTAACGGTAGCCACTTGTGGTTTTCCAGGTAAATATAAAAAGTCACACTATCGCGCTTGAATTCCATCACGAATAACCTTTTTTCTGGAAAATTCTCACCAAAATGCTTTTGTACGCTTCTAAACAATATAATGAGCTGTCATTGGAATTAATTTAACAGCCGTCGGACGAGTGGCTTAGAAATGACAGCGGTCTAAAGTTGGTTACAGTTTTTTTTATCTCACCCTATATGACTCTCTCTCTCTCTCTCTCTCTGTTGGATTGCCGACGATTGTACGGTTGTTTGCTAAGTTGCAGTATGGATCTAACTAAGGGACTCTGGACTCAATTATTCGGACGAAACCTCACTGAGGGATGATTTAGGGTTTTTCGCTGTTCGTATTTTCGTCGGTCCCAACTTGGGTGCCATTTATAGATTTTTATACCCTACAACACTATGTGTTGGGGGTATTATAAGTTTGATTGGGCAAAAAATTATGTAACACCTCGAAATATTGGTTTCCCACATAGGAAAGTATATATGGATCTTTCTAGCTCGCCGGGCTGAGTCGATCTAGCTATGTATGTCCGTCCGTCCGTCTGTCCGTCTGTCCATGTTAATTTGTAATCACTCTACAGGTCGCAATTATGGTCCGATCTTCACGAAATTTAAAATGGAGGTGGGGTTAGGGTCAGAATAGAAGCCTATTTCTTTTGGAGATGATCGCCAAATGTTTAGGGGTTGAAATGGACCAAATACTGAAAAAATATCGGATTTTGCAGTAGCTGTACAGGTCGCAATTATAGACCAATCGACGCGGAATTTCGTATGTAGCTAGATTTTAGGGCGGGGAAGAAGCCTACCAATTAGGGTGGTCATCGGATAATATTTAGCGGGTGTTGAAAAAATTCAACATTTTTCATTAAATCGCGAATATTTTAAATCCCGGCGAAATCACGAAGCCATGACAAGGTTACTTCTGACCTTTACATTGATGTTAACATCCAACAAATCGGATATATAGCAAAATATGTGCGATATATATGTCTATCAAAGAAGATATGCTTGAAAGATCTCTTATATGTCGAGAACGGCTGAACTGATTTCGACAGTTCTCATTAATTCTCTCTAAAGATAAAAATATTGATTTTGTAACATTTTCTCATATTTTTTCAATTTTGTCATATTTTTGGCATATTTTCATTTTGAATTAAATTTGGTAATATTTCTACAGCTGACAAAACTAAGTAGTTACGAAATTTACGAAATTTTGCATGGGTATAAGATGAGGGTCACTATAGAAGCCTACTCTTTTTGGAGATGTTCGCAATATATTTAGGGATTGAAATGGACCAAAAAACTGCAAAATTGTCAGCAGGTCGTAATTATCGCCCGATCCTCACGCACATTTGAATGGGGGTTACCGGACATTGCAAAAGCCAAGCAGTTTTGGATGGCCATCCAAAAATATTCAATGTGTGAAGGAGTTTGCCAACTTTTATAGACAAAATACGAAAATGTCCATTCCAGTGACTTTTTGGAAAATTCACAAATACAGGAAAAACGCACTTCTGACTATTTCGTTAACGCTGATTTCGTTGAAGAATATAGTCAAATGTCTGTATCTCATATAGATGCGTTTCAGTCAAAAACCAATAATAAATGTTAATCTTTTGCCACTTCTGAGAGATTATAGGTCTTTGGGAAATATTGGTTCCAGATCTAGGAAGACCATTTACGTGCAACATCGTCCAATAAATTGGAAATCAGCAAATTAGTTTAAGTTGCTATTATTCGAAAATTAGAGAACGAGACCTGATGGTTTTCTTTTATAATTCGTCACAATATCTTGTGGAATTCTTTCGAGTATCTCGCCTATATAAACAGTATCGTCTATTATAGTGTTGTAGGGTATTCAACGGTCGGCCCCGCTCGACTGTAGCCTTTGCTTACTTGTTTGTAGTTGTTTTTGTGTCGATAATCGAGCTACCGAAGAAACTTTTCGGCAGATTTCTACCTACAATCACGTTTGTTGTTAGAGAACGGGCCCAGCCAGCACTGATCTGTGCCGGCTTATTTCTGTTCGAAGCAGATGGAATGACAGTTAAATCCTGAAAAGAAGTTCAAGAATTGGAAGGAACGTGACCGCCCTAGAAACCAGTGGGAGTACTCTCCGAAATAATCCTCGGAAAAAATGGTTTTTCAGGTCGGTCTGAATGAAAGGTCGGCCGTTGACTGCATCATAGTCAAGCTTATGTAGATCTTCCCAAATTGCATTTTTGTTATCTATGTGGAGGTATAGGAAAGTGAAGCTTACAAGGTCGATCATGGAGGTGGCAAAATGCTTGCCGAATAATATGAAATGCATCGAATAATAATTTAAATTCTCGAACTACATTTGAAATATTTTATTTAAAAAAATAAAAATTAAAAAAATAAATAATTGCGATTGCCATTTGTGGATAGATAGGTTCTCATGTTGAAAATTAAATTTTTTCACGTATCCACTTGAATAGGAAGTTGAATTATAAATTAGATCTTACATAAAATGTTTTGAATTAAATCTGTAACTTCAAAACTCGTCTCCCTTCCTCCATTACAGAATATTTCCCATTGTGGTGTCGTCAATCTGGAACGTATGTTCGAAACACCCGAACGCATTTTTGTCGTCATGGAAAAACTTAAAGGTGATATGTTGGAAATGATACTCTCTCACGAACGTGGACGACTCAGCGAGAGAGTTACGAAATTCCTGATAACCCAAATTCTCATCGCACTCAAACATCTGCACAGTCAAAATGTCGTTCATTGTGATTTGAAACCCGAAAATGTCCTGCTCTCATCCGATGCCGAATTTCCTCAAGTGAAATTATGTGATTTCGGTTATGCTCGTATCATTGGAGAGAAATCATTCCGACGGTCGGTGGTGGGTACACCAGCGTATTTGGGTAGGTTTGAAATGATTCAGAATACGATGTTTGCGTTTATTTATACCTTTCCTGGATTTTTAGCTCCAGAAGTTTTGCGTAACAAGGGCTATAACCGTTCCCTGGACATGTGGAGTGTGGGTGTGATAATTTATGTCAGTTTGAGTGGCACCTTCCCCTTCAACGAAGAGGAAGATATTAATGATCAAATTCAGAATGCTGCTTTCATGTATCCGCCAAATCCCTGGAAGGAAATTTCATCGAATGGTAAGTTGTGCACTTCTTTTTACATTACCTTGTAATGGGTTATTCGACCCAAGTTTTTGCCGAGTAAAAACGGTCCCCTTCCAAATACTAAATAACTTTAACATTCCCTGTTTCCATCTCCACTTCCTTTCCAGCTATTGATCTGATCAACAATCTGCTGCAAGTGAAACAACGAAAACGTTATACCGTGGACAAGAGCCTGCAACATTATTGGTTACAGGACAAGCAAACTTATCATGATTTGCGAAATTTGGAACGCCAAGTCGGTACCCGTTATCTGACACATGAAGCTGATGATTTGCGGTGGGCCAGCACCACCGGTGATATGTGACCTGTTAATGGTCCACAACCATGTCCAACATTCCAATTAAATGACAAAATTCCCGAATCACCTGAACCGAAGTTACAACAACAGTCTCCGCAGCAGCCGCTAAAAACCGTAAAAGAAGAACAACGTCGTAAATCATCGACAACGACGACGACAATTACAACAACGGGACTGCATATGGATCTGGAAAATTGTAACTGTCGTAGTTTGCCCTCGAATAAGCCAAAAGTTGAAGCGATCGGTGATAAGGCATTAAACTGGATGCGTTCACATTTGTGTCGTCACATCAAATAAATCCATGACAAAATTTCTCTCAACAACTCAAAAACATAGCTACTTTAATTTGTGTTTCAAATGGCTGCTATTATTACAACTACAACAACAACTAAATGACAACGATCAAATGAAAATAATACGAGTACTAGGTCTACGTTTAACCATTCATTCCTTGAGAAGAGTCCTCAACAACAACCACAACTACAACTACAATTATATTTTCTATTTCAATTTTACAATTTCTCAATTTACTCAGACTAAGTTTTTTTGTTGTTTCGAATGAATCCTCAATGTGTGTTTTTTTAATGAAGAACATCAACAAAAAAAAGGTACCTTAAATTTACATAAATATATCTAATTCTCTATACAGACATCTATATTCATTAAGAGAGTGTGTGTGTATAAATACATATACAAATATAAATATTGCCTATATATTAAAATTTATAACATATAATGATTTAATTAAGTTCTAAGTGTTGTAATTTTTTAAAATAAAATTCGAAACGCTTTACAAAACAAACAAAAAAAAACAACAACAAAACACTGTGCTACAAATATTGTAATTTTCGTCTTTTGGATCCCTTTCTCCTTTAAAGCTAAACGAACAAATTTATTAATGCAAATATACAAAAATGAATTAAAATAATTGCACATATACATACATACATACATACAATTATATTATATTACAAACATACGTTAATGCTCTTCTGTAGAAAATTAGTTCTATAAGAAAATTGCAGCAACAACAACAAGAAGAAGAAAAACTCCACTAATATTTAACGAGAAGAGAAGATACTCTCTGAAATCGAAATGAAAAAAAAAAAATAATTTATGAGAGACATTAATATTAATGCTCATGTCTTTATTTTCCGAATAAAAAAATAACAATTATTTTAAAATTTCAAATATTTTGTTTTATTTAATACTTCGGCTTTGAATTGTCTACATATAGAGATAAAAAACTGCAATAAATCAAACGCCATAATATTTACATTTTTTTTTTTTTTTTTTTTTTTTGAATAAAATCAAAAAAAAAAAAATGTCGGAAATATTCATTCATAATTCACAACTTTCGGCCAAGCGAAGCAACTCTTTAGCTCTTTTGAATCTATTTTCTTTCTGTTGCGGTATAAGTTCTTGCACTTTTTGGAATTTCAGTGGCTTCACCCCAAGCTCATTTTTCAATATTTGCCGAATGGAATATTGCGATATGTTCAGCTCGCGAGCCATTTGCGGACACTGCGACGCGGGTCTAGTCCGCCCACTTCCCTGACGTTGGGCTACGCTGTCAGTATCACGGTAACGAACGATGGTACGAGACACAAAAGATTTATTCACATTTAAATACTGGAGTGCTCTAACGATAGCCACTTGTGGTTTTCCAGACAAATATAAGGAAATCACACTATCACGCTTGAATTCCATCACGAATAACTTTTTTCTGGAAAATTCTGACCAAAATGCTTTTGTACGCTTGTAAACAATATAATGAGCTGCAACTGGAATAAATTTAACAGCTGTCGGACGAGTGGCTTAGAAATGACAATAGTCTGAAGTTGGTATATGTTTGTAACAGGGAGAAGCAAGCGAGATAGACCCATCTTCATAGAATCACTTTCTGAGTCGATTTATGCATGTCAGTCCGTCTGTCTATGTATTCTTGTGAACAAAATGCAGGGCGCATTTATTATCCGATTGAGATGAAATTTCCAAACAATATTTGTTATGCCCAAGGACGAACCCTATTGAAATTGGTAACAATCGTATATCTTCATAACATATATCTTCAACCTATGACCTGAAATTTGGCACATCCAACCGAATTTAATCTAGAAGTAAGTACATGAAATGTAGTGAAAATCGGTTCAGATATTACTATAGCTCCAATATACAGGTTTCATCCGATTTGGTGCTTAAGTCCATCACATGGGTAATAAGCAGTTCACAAAAATGATATTTGAGTCGATTTATGCATGTCAGTCCGTCTGTCTATGTATTCTTGTGAACAAAATGCAGGGCGCATTTATTATCCGATTGAGATGAAATTTCCAAACAATATTTGTTATGCCCAAGGACGAACCCTATTGAAATTGGTAACAATCGTATATCTTCATAACATATATCTTCAACCTATGACCTGAAATTTGGCACATCCAACCGAATTTAATCTAGAAGTAAGTACATGAAATGTAGTGAAAATCGGTTCAGATATTACTATAGCTCCAATATACAGGTTTCATCCGATTTGGTGCTTAAGTCCATCACATGGGTAATAAGCAGTTCACAAAAATGATATTTGATACCAGATACAGCCCATAAATACCTCTGCCAAATTTTATCAATATCGGTTGATGTTTGGATATAGCTCCCATATATATCTTCAACCAATTTCGGGTTAATAGTGCACCAAATGGCCAACATCAGTCCAAATAACCTGAATTTTGGAACGTCCGACCGAATTCAGTCTAGAAGCAAGTACAACGAATTCGGAGAAAATCGGTTCAGATATAGCTATAGCTTCCATATATATGTTTCATCCGATTTGGTATTTAAGTCCCTCAAATTCATAATATCCATTCGACAACAATGATATTTGGTACCAGATATCGGAAATACCTTTGCCAAATTTTGTCGAGATCTACTAAGATTTGGATATAACTTCTAAATATTTTTAATCCGATTTCAGGTTTATTTTGCAAATAATGGCTAATATCAGCCCAAATGGAGTGCATTTCGCGACGTACGTTTCCATTCTGTGGAACTCGGCTCCGATATATATTTTTGTATACCCTCCACCATACATAGTATGGAGGGTATATTAAGTTTGTCGTTCCGTTTGTAACTCATCGAAATAATAATTTTAGACCCAACAAAGTATATATATTCTTGACCAGCGTAAAATTCTAAGACGACTTTGCCCTGTCCGTCCGTCTCTCCGTCTGTTGTAATCACGCTACAGTCTAAACGTATTAAGACAGGAAGCTAAAATTGTGTCTGCAGGCAGGTCAAGTTCGAAGATGGGCTATATCGGTCCACGATATCGTATAGCCCCCATATAACGGTACCCCCCCCATATTCGCTATTTTAATTATGTAAGCTACATTTTTCAATGGAATTGTCTGAAATTCCACACAAGAAGTCCCTTGTTTTATCCCCTGAGAGAATTGTCTATAAAGGTCCACGATATCGTATGTCCCCCATATAAGGGTACCCCCGATATTCGGTATTCAGAAGATTTTACCCACATTTTTCAACGGAATTGTCTGGAAATCCACCCAGGGAGTTACTTGCGGGTACCTTATACATCGGTAGAGTATTATCTATATAGGTCCACGATATCCGTTATATGGGGGCTATAACGGTATCCCCCGATATTCGGTATTTTAATGATTTCAGCCACATTTTTCAATGGAATTGTCTGAAAGTCCACACAAGGAGTTCATTGTCAGTACTTATGCCTTGAAGGAGAATTATCTATATAGGTCTGTCATATCGTATAGCCCCCATATAACGGTAACCCCCATTTTCGGTATTTTCATGATTTTAGCCACATTTTTCAACGAGAGTGTCTGAAATTCTATACAAGGAGTTCTTTGTGAGCACTTTTCCCCCAGACATAGATTTGTCTATATAGGTCCACAATATCGAATATCCCCCCATATATTGGCAACTTCCGATATTAGGTATTTTAAAGATTTGGATTTAATTTTTTTGAAAATTTTCTAATCCGTTACGAATGGTGGAGGGTATTCAAAGTTCGGCCCGGCCGAACTTACTGCTTTTTTACTTGTCTAATATAATCCCTCTCGAAATGTTTATAATGTAGCTAAAATCATCAAAATACCGAATATAGGGAGGTACCATGGGGGTCATAAAATGTGGACCTGCACAGACAATTTTCTGTCATAGGCTGTAGTATTCATTACGAACTTCAAATACAAATTTTGAAATAGTTCTGGTAAATAATGTCTCTAAAATCATCAAAATACCCAATATCGGGATACCGTTATATGGGGCCTATACGAAGACGTGGACCTACATCATTTTCCGTGAAATGGACAATAACTTTTGTGGGAAAATGAAAAATTTACTTTTTCACTGAAGGCAAAAAAATCCAAAGATCTACTGCCATATGATAACTTCACTCGTTTTTCGTCTCTTGATAACTTTAGATAAAATAGTTAGTTTATTATATTTTTGACAACATAGAATGATTGAGAATTATTTCTCAATGCTGTTGAATTAATCAACAAAACTTGTCAGGTGATATGGGTAAAAAGGATCTGACAGGGAATTTTGTCCCCTTTAACCTAGCCAGAGTGGAGTATTGAAACTGGCCGCAAAATTAGCTGTCACATACCGTTACCAGCAGTCTTCGTGTATTTTGAAAATTTGATTCGTCCGATTTTATATTTTCAATGCTTACATTTTACAAAATCGTAATTAATCTTCATCACCATAAAAAAGACTCCATTGAAATTTAAAATGTAGGGCGATACAAAAAGTTTTATTCAAAATGTATTCAAAAAATTCGTTGCACACAAGAGTATCTTATATTTAGGGTTCTAAGTTATTCGAAATCCAATCGACATAGGCTCCAACACGGGTATAGACCCCAGGCCAACCTGGCAAACCACATGGAGTCGGTCCGAATGACACAACACCGGCCAAAACATAAACATCACGATTTTCAACACGTTGCTTAATGACCAATGGTCCACCGGAATCACCACGACACGAATCAACACCCTCCACACCGCCGGCGCACATCTGTGAGTTGTCAAGGAACACACCTTTTGGTGAGTACTTGCGACGACAATCTTCAAGATTCCAAGCATCAACGCCTGCCTTCAACTTCAAATCACTGCTACGGCTGTCCTCGGTGGTGCCGAATCCAGTCACATCCAATTTTAGAGCTTCAAAGGTTCGCGAACGCAATTCTTGCTGAACGGGCAAACATACAGGACTAACGAAATCGGTATATTCAATGTTTCGACTCAAACGAATCAGGGCAATATCGTACAGATGATTCTTGTCGTTAGATCTGTACATGGGATGGGCAGTGATCTTTTCAATGGCAACATCTATGTAAGGATCGGCACAGTCATATTGGTCATTGATAAGACGTTCACAGTCGGGATTGGTGTTGCGATCCCATTCGCCTAGACGAATGCCAGTTGGGCGCCAATCGGCGGGGATACCAGCACCGGTTACACAATGTGCCGCCGTTATGACATAACGTTTGCTGATGAGAGCTGCACCACAGTGGAAACCTTTTTCATTGAAGGCTGTGGAAATGGGAAAAAGAAATCAATTAGTTTACATTATCCGAGCCGTGGCGATTAAGTATTTATTACGTTTGGTATACTCGATTAATGCCACCCAGGGATATTCATCGATTCTGGTAACATTTCCACCAAGAATGCGATTATCGAACGATTTGCCACATTCGCGTGTTGTTGGCAATTCAGCTTTTAGGAAACGGCTACCGCTTTGCAAAACACAGCAAACCTGTATTGGAATTAAAACAGAAACAATTAAAAACAAAATGATTACAAGATTCCACACAGCCTCAACTCACATAAACAGTGGAACCCACATAATCGCATTGACTGTGTTGCAGAAACATGGTTTCTGCTTGGGTTCTACCAACATTCTTCAAAAGATTCAACAAGGGAGGACATTCCAAGAGACTAACGCAGGTTCCAGCTTCATTGTTTGGATTCCGGCAGGGTTGATCTGGGAAAATATTTATATGAACATATTAGAAATTGTTTTTTTATTATAAAAATTATTATCGTGTAGAAAAAAATCCATTGGCTTTTGGGAGGAAGGCGAATTTATTTTTTTATCGGAAATATACCTATCAGTGTTCTATAATATATCATAAAATCCCAAGTAAATTTTGGAAACAAAATATACCAATTTTTGATTAGCCAAGAATTTTAAAACATTTAATTTAAAATGAGATCTACCGATCTTAATGATCTTCTATATAAAACACGCCTAATAAAACATCAATTCTTTAAATACTATATCAAGTATAGGACTTCTGATGAAGGAATACCAATTGTTTTTTATAAGTTTACTAGCTGACACGGTCCACGTTGCTGGTCCGTCGTTTTGGTCTGTAATGATTATTTTTGATTTTTTAAGTTTGGTAGAACTGTATTCTAACGAAAATGTTGGATCGAAGGTGCTAATGACGTTTTCCAATCGAATAATTTAGAATTCTAATAGAAACAAGTAAAAAGCTGTAAGCTTTTGAACTTTGAATACCCTCCACCATTTAGAACGAATTTGGCAGTTCTTAAAAACAATAAAATCCGTTAAAAATTCTGTTAGAATCTTAAAAATACCGAATGTAGCTCTTTAGGTCTTTACGACGACATGGACCTGCATAGGTAACTTATGTCATAAGTCATTACAATACCGAATATCGGGAGGTACCTTCGATTCCTAAGTTTCGCATTTGAATATTGTAATGGCTTACGACAAATGTTACCTATGCAGGTCCATGTCGTCATATTAGCCCTAATATAACAGCTGCATTCGGTATTTTAAAGATTTTAACAGGATTTTTAACGGATATTATTTTTTAATAGCCAAATTCGCTCCAAAGAATATTCAAAGTTCTGCCCGGCCGAACACACAGCTTTTTCACTTGTTTTCCCTAACATGTATCTGTAGTGAGCAGCGCCTCTACATATTTTCCACATTAACCATTTTTCCGCAATGCATTTTGTCCAGTCTTTACTATTTTAGGTCTTTGACAATCCAACTCTAAGGGTGGTAGAGGTCGAAGTATTCCAATTGATTTGAATATAATTTTGAATTCTTAATACGTAACTGAGGTATCCGAGGTATTTGGCTTTGTTCACCTCATAATTAACGGTCCCCGAAATATTCGTAAACAAAGGGTATATATTCTTGATCTGATCGATAAAACTCTTTTGAAATTCACCCTACTAAGTTTATATTGTCGAATTTTGACGTGAGTTCAATCTAGCAGTAACGATCAGTACAGGTAAATAAAAGAGTGATCGCAAAACCAAATTTTAGGTTTTTATACCCTCCACCATAGTATGGAGGGTATATTAAGTTTTCATTCCGTTTGTAACACCTCAAAATATACATTTTAAACCCCACAAAGTATATATATTCTTGATCAGCATAAAATTCTATGTCGATTTATCAATGTCCGTCCGTCTGTCCGTCTATCCCAATATTCTGATGATTTTAGAGACATTATTTACCAGAATTGTTTCAAATTTGGTATTTCAAATTCGTAATAGACACTACAGCATAAAAAAGAAAATGGGTCATGTAGGTTAACTTCTCCGTATAGCCCCCATGTAACGGTACCCCCCGATATTCAGTATTTTGATGATTATAGCGACATTATTTTCCGGATTTGTTACAAATTTGGTATTTGAAGTTCGTAATAGATACTACAGCAGAAAACAGAAAATGGGCCATGTAGGTCCACGTCTTCGTATAGCCCCCATGTAATGGTACCCCCCGATATTCGGTATTCTAATGATTTTAGCGACATTATTTACCGAAATGATTTCAAATTTGGTATTTGAAGTTCGTAATAGATACTACAGCCTATGACAAAAAATTGTCTGTGCAGGTCCACGTTTTACAACTCCCATGGTTCCTCTCTATATTCGGAATTTTGATGATTTTAGCTACATTATAAACAGATTTTTTTTTAAGTTTCGCATTTGAAATTGAAATAGCTTGTGACAAAAGTTGCCTATGCAGGTCCACATCGTCGTACAGACCCTAATATACGGCTACATTCGTTATTTTTAAGATTTTAACAGAATTTTTAACGGATTTTATTTTTTTGAAAATTTGTTAAATTTGTTCCAAATGGCGGAGGGTATTCAAAGTTCGGCCCGGCCGAACTTACAGCTTTTTTACTTTTTTTTAAATTTTCCGTCTTTTCTGGAGATTTTTCTTAAAATGTTCTTTTACCAAAACCTTTTCACTGCAACCCAATTCAAAATCCTTCGCATTAATCTTCTCAAGATTTAAAATTTATTGCTCTAAAAAAATCAGCACACATTTAAGGTTTAATATTTTGCAAAATCCAATCAGCATAGGCACCAACACGTGTATAGACACCAGGCCATCCCGCGGTAGCACATTGTTTCGGTCCAAACGATACAATACCGGCCAAGACATAAACATCACGGTTATCTAAACGTTGACGCACCACCAAAGGACCACCCGAGTCGCCGGTACACGAATCAATTCCAGCTTCGCCACCAGCACATATTTGAGAGTTTTGTAAATAAATCCTTCTCGCTGCATACTTTTGACGGCAGTCGGCATTAGTCCAGGCATCAACGGCGGCTTTTAATTTCAGATTGCTACTGGTACCAGTTTCCGTAGCACCAAACCCTGTCACATCCATTTTCATGGCATCAAATGTCTTCGAGCGCATCTCTTCGGCCATTGGCAAACAAACAGGACTAATAAAATGGGTGTACTCAATATCGCGTTCCAACCGTATCAGAGCAATGTCATACAGGCGATTGGCAGCGTTTTCATTATATTGCGGATGAGCGATAATTTCTTCGATGCCAATGTCTAAATGGGGATCGGCACAATCCAATCGATTGTTGGCTAAACGTTCACAGTCTTGTGTTGTGGAACGATCCCATTCCCCCAAACGCACCCCAGTCGGAACATTCGTTTGTAACGCTCTGCCCGTAACACAATGGGCAGCGGTCAGGACATAACGTTTATTGATCAATGATCCACCGCAAAAGAAATTTTTAATATTCCCAGCTGAAAATTGGATTGAGGTTGGTAATTTTGAACATTTTTCTATAAGCAGGACATGTATAGCGTGCGAATGACCGTTGTCTGGAATGGCGTGTGAATCTTTTTTAATTTATGTCATGTATACGCATGCTTGAACGCTCAGAGGACTTTTATAATGAGGCTACAGACACATTTATACAATGTCTAAGAAGTGATGCGAACTAAGAGGATTATTTGTAGATAACTCAAAGATAGTCTTTTGAAGGGAATCTTAATAGGCGAGCGAAAGACAGTCTTTATGGATAAACATAGGGGAGAGTTTATAGACGTGCTGAGGGGAGCATCTCTAGAGGACGTGTAGACGACCTAATACGATTTTTAAAGAAGAACTCAATATAATCTCTCCAAACGAACTGGACAGATTCTCTCTAGACCAACTGGAGGATATCTCTATTCTCAATCCGCAGTATAAGAAAAATTAGAGAGAATCTCTACAGAACAAAATGAAGGGAGTCTCTTTAAACGAACTGAAACAAAATATCTAGGCGAATTAAATGGAGCTTCTATACACGACCAGGAGGGAGTCTTTATGGATGAACAGAGGGGAGAATTTATCGAAGTTCTGAGGGGAGGAGTCCTTAGTAGGCGACTTGATCACATTTTTTATAGACTAACTGAAGATAATCTCTCCTAAGGAACTGGAGGGATTCTCTAGACCAACTGGATGGAATCTCTATTCTCCGTCTAAATATAACCTCTTTAGACAAAGTAAAGGGAGTCTCTATAGACGAGCAGTAAAGAGTCTCTATAGACGAGCAGTAGGGAGTCTCCACAGACGAGCAGTAGGGAGTCTCCACAGACGAGCAGTAGGGAGTCTCCACAGACGAGCAGTAGGGAGTCTCCACAGACGAGCAGTAGGGAGTCTCCACAGACGAGCAGTAGGGAGTCTTCACAGACGAACAGTAGGGAGTCTCCACAGACGAGCAGTAGGGAGTCTCCACAGACGAGCGGTAGGGAGTCTCTATAGACGAGCGGTAGGCAGTCTCTATAGACGAGCGGTAGGGAGTCTCTATAGACGAGCGGTAGGGAGTCTCTATGGACAAGCAGTAGGGAGTCTTTATAGACGAGCAGTAGGAAGTCTCTATAGACAAGCAGTAGGGAGTCTCTATAGACGAGCGGTAGGGAGTCTCTATAGACGAGCGGTAGGGAGTCTCTATAGACGAGCGGTAGGGAGTCTCTATGGACAAGCAGTAGGGAGTCTTTATAGACGAGCAGTAGGAAGTCTCTATAGACAAGCAGTAGGGAGTCTCTATAGACGATCGATATTGAGTAGGAAGACTCTATAGACTAGCGGTAGAGACTCTCTATAGACGAGCAGAACTGACGAGACGTTGGAGTCTCGATAGAAAAAGCTGAAGGGAGTTTCTATAGACGAGCAGAACTGGACCTCTATAGACGAGCAGAACTAAAGGTAGTCTGTATAGACGACTTCAGTTGAGTCTTTATTGCCGAGCGCAAATGAGACTTTATAGACGAGCACAAAGTAGTAGACGGGCGCAAATTTTTTAGACGAGCGCAAAGGAGTCTTTTTAGACGATCTCAAGGGAGTATCAGGGGAGTATCTATAGACGAGATTAAGAAAGACTCCAAGAAGTCTATATAGACTACCGCAAGGAATTCTATATAGACGAACGCAAAAAAGGCTCTTTAGACCAACGCAAGGAAGTCTCTAAGTCGAACTCAAGAGAGTCTCTATTGACTAGGGCATGTAGAGACTCTCTATATTCGAGCAGGACTGACGAGACGTTAGAGTCTCGATAGAAAAAGCTGAAGGGAGTTTCTATAGACAAGCAGAAGTAAAGGCAGTCTCTATAGACGACTTCAATTGAGTCTTTGTAGACGAGAGCAAATTAGTCTTTATAAACGAGCGCAAAACGAGTTCAAGGCAGTATTTACAAACGAGCTCAGGGGAGAATCTATAAACGAGTTCAAGAAAGACTCTAAGAAGTCTCTATAGACAAACGCAAGGAAATCTCTATAGTCGAGCTCAAGGGAGTCTATATTGACTAGGGCATGTATGTAAGCCTCTATAGACTAGAGCAAGGAAGTCTCTATAGCCTATAATAAGGGGGTATTTGTGGATTAACAAAGGATAGGTTTCATAGACGTGCTGAAGTGAATATACATAGGTGATTAGAAGGCAGTCTCTACAGACGAGTGAAGTTTTTGGAGTTTTGACGGACAGAAAGAAGTCCCTGTAGACGAACTGAAGGGAGTCTTTGAAGATGAGTGAAAGCGAATTTCTATAGGCGAATGATAGTAGTGATTTTCTATAGAAGAATGGAAGGGACTCTCTCTATAAGAGTGGAAGAATTCTCTCTCCTCTCTCTCTCTCTCTCTCTCTGGACGATGACCGAGATAGAATCTTTTGGGGTCTTTAGTGTATATTGAGAATAAACCGCGATTATCTTCTGAAAACGAGATCACACAAAAAATGATAATGACACAACAATAACAATCACACATCTGAAAAATGAATATCCATGTGTTTGAAATGCAAATACGATGGGACGTGCATTAATTTCGAATCTAATGAAATATGGACGGAGTACATTTCTGAGAATATTGTATGTATGAGAATATCCACATAAATACAAAACATTCCAACATTAAATGATACAATTAACATTTAAAATGAAATGAGGTTAGGTGCCCATCTAGATTTTGGTAATGATTTTATTTTTCTTCGAAATTATTAACATACGTTTTGTATATTCAATCAGGGCCAACCATGGATATTCATCGATACGTGTAACGTTGCCACCATGGATACGATTGTCAAAGGACTTTCCACAATCTCGGGTGGAAGGCAAGAGGTTTGAGGTGGCTCGAGCGCCGGCCACACTTTCCACTTTACAACATACCTGTGAAAACGACCAGATTATTGTTTTTGAAACCATCAACGCATTTTCTTTAGTTATTTTCATAACCTTTACTTAGTTAATAAAAATTTTGAAATGTTGGTCTAAAAGTTATTTCATTAGAAGGTAATGAAAATATTACCCTTTTTGTGGGGGTTGGGTGAAACTTACATAGACCAACGAGCCAATTTGATCACACATACTTTGTTGCAGATATTGGGTTTGTTGCGGAGATCTATTGGTATTTCTCAGCAATTGCAACAGTTGGGGACATTCTACAAGGTTACGGCATTGGCCATTGGCTCGGTCAGGCGTCATGCATTGCTCATCTGTAAAATTGTTTGCAAGATAAATTTAGTGATGCTTCATCTCAATCATGTGATATTGAAAAGGAGACAACAATTTTTTTTTAATTTCAATTGTAAAAAATTAAGTTATTTGTAAAAAGGACTCCGAAGGGGAACGTCAGTTGCTTTTTTTCGGGCACACAGTACTAATTCAAAGAATTCATGACCCATTTTTAGGAAATTCCCAAAATATCGATACCTCTACCTTAGGATATAAACCCTTTCTTCTCCAACTTTTTCGGAGTTGTTGAGACAATTTGGAATTTGAGTTGAGTTTGAATTGGAGTTTTCACATGGTATACGATTACAAAAAGTTTTACACAATCTAAGTTGATGCAGTTTTTACTTGTTCTTTTTGGCCTCAGGTAAATCTGGCTTATCGTATTTTACCATTGCTAAGTAGGGTAAGTGTGCCTAAGTTCGGCATGTCCCAGTAGTCGGCACTTCTTATTTTTAATCCCAAATAAATGAAACTATTATAACTAAATGTATTTTGTTTACTTCAAATATATTGTCTGCTATCTTTGTGTACAATTTTTCTAAGAAAAGATGATTTATTCTAATAAAAATTAAAATTTTGTCTGTGAAGGTCCTCAACAATTCATATTCTTAATAAAAGTACAATAAAGACGTCGAATCAGTTTAACTAAACAAAAATATTATATTTAAATGAATTAATTTATTATTATTAATTATTCTTACAAAAAAATCGGTATGCCGACTGTTGGAACATGCCATACCGACAATTGGCTAGTGGTGCCGACCACTGGCAAAAAGGCATTGTTTTAATAAAACTACAAATTTATGAAATTTAATAAAAAGTTATTAAAACTTTATTTATTATTGCAAAAACTATACAAAATTTCGAATCTGAATAAAATAACTTTGTAATAATTGAAAAGTTCCACTCAGAATGGTGAGCGATTAAAGACGCGAAAATCCTAAAAGTGCCGACTACTGGTACACTTACCCTATATAATTTGTAAATGTTTTTGGCAAATATAGATTATTTAATAACGTATTTCTTTGCTTCCGATCACTTGGAGTTTTTTATTCCCAGGAATTTCCCAGACATTTGGATACAAAAATGTATATCCCCCATTCTCAATAACCGAAAATAATCAGGGAAGTCCAAAACCCCAGCTTACGTTGCATATATCAATGTTTCCTGCAAACACACACACACACACAAATCGCAAGCATGAATACATTTCACATATTAACTCTACTTTACAAAAACAATAATTACGTTTCCAATACTCATCCAATTACTCACTAAGGCGGAGTTCAGTTCGTTAGGAAAGAAGGTGAGAATTATTATTTGGAGAGAAAAAGAGAGAGAGAGAGAGAGAGAGAGAGATTAATTATAAGTTAAGAATAAAGAGCAATTTGATTGCAATCAATTTGCCAAATTTCTGCAAAATCGGTTCATACCTAGATATAGCTCTAATATAGAGTTCCTTCCGATATGATGTTAGTGTTTCATCGACAAACCTACGTTTGTCAAACGAAAATGCTCAGACAAAAAAAGTCTGCTTGGTTTGGACCAAATAATTTTAGATATACAGGGTGAGAAAAAAAAACTACAACAAAGTCAAACGTCATAAAATTTTATTGAATGAATGAATTTCGGAAATAGCACAAAATTTTAGAATAGTTTTAGATTTGTTCGAATTGGTCACCTTTGGCACGAATTATGGCCTTCAAATGGCCAATGAAACCGTCACACGCTGCCCGAATGTTGCTCTGCGGTATTTTGGCCCATTCCCGGCGTTGATCTGAGGATTGTTTTGAAATGAGAACTATGAAAATGAGAGCTTTGTTTAAAGGGTGAGATGAAAAAACTGCAACCAATTTCAGGCTGCTGTCATTTCTAACCTACTCGTCCGACAGCTGTTAAAATTATTCCAGTGACAGCTAGAGAACCACAAGTGGCTATCGATAGAGCACTTCAGCATTTAAATGTGAATAAATCTTTTGTGTCTCGTACCATCGCTCGTTACCGTGATACTGGTAGCGTAGAAGGATACTGGTAGCGTAGAAGCAAGGATGTGGACGGAAGAAAACAGCAACATCATAGAAATGGTTAGAAAAGTAATGAAGCGACTTGATCGAAACCCGCGTCGCAGTAGCCGACAAATGGCTCGTGAGCTGAACATATCACAATATTCCATTCGGCAAATATTGAAAAATGAGCTCGGGGTAAAGCCAAGAACTTACACCGCAACAGAAAGAAAATAGACTCAAAAGAGCTAAAGAGTTTATTCGCTTGGCCGAAAGTGGTGAACTGCCGAATTTGGTTTTCTCCGACGAGAAAACATTCGTTGTTCAGCAGTTTGTAAACAAACAAATTGATCGTATTTACTTGCCAAAAAGGTCAGCTGAAAATGTGCACCTTCGGTTGGCCACCAGAACTCAAGCGCCGGCGATGGTGAGGGCCGCCATAACAGCCGATGGTCGCTCTCCGCTCGTATTAATCGACCGTGACATCAGAATAAATGCCGAATATTATCGCGAAAATATTCTGAAGGGTGTATCAAAGTCTTGGGCACACAAACATTTTGGCCGCAGATCTTGGACATTCCAACAGGACTCAGCACCGTCGCTCTCAGCACGCGCCACCCAAGAATGATTACAAAATGAGGTTCCTCGCTTCATTTTCAGCGCACAATGGCCACCAAAATCCCCGTATACCAATCGCTTGGACTATTGTGTCTGGAGTATTTTGGAAAGCAAGGTTGGCACTAAAAAATACCAAAGTGTCGATCACCTCAAGCAAGCGCTTCGCCGGGAATGGGCCAAAATACCTCAGAACAACATTTAAGCAGCCTGTGACAGTTTCATTGGCCGTTTGAAGGTCATAATTCGTGCCAAAGTTAACCAATTCGAACAAATCTAAACTTATTCTAAAATTTGTTGCTATTTCCGACATTTATTGCTCTTATTCAATAAAATTTTAAAAAGTAAAAATTTGGGATGTAACTTTGTTGCAGTTTTTTATCTCACCCAAAAATTCCAGCTTCATTCTTTCAGACTAAAACAAACTTTTTCAAATTTAGTACACTTAGTACTCATTACCAAAACCACCTTCATATATCAAATTTACTTTCTAACATTGATTCTCATTCCCATTTTAACTATATTCGTCCATATAATACCGAATTTTACCATATTAAAAGTTAAGTACAATTTTAGAACTTTTCGTAGACTTAAGGTTTGATTTTCCCAAAACCCTTTGATATATCAATCCTGCACGACATTAATGACTCTTATTCCAAATTTTCGGAATTTCGTTTGTCTAACGCAAAGTTATTGAATTTTTAGTATATTCAATACTTTTTTATACCCTCCGCCATTGTATGGTGGAAATTACTCTAGCTTCCGAATGAAAAGACGTAGATTGATACAATTTTACTCAAATGTATATTATGTCTGCAGGACTTTTGGTATTGAAAATGGGTCATGTGTTACCTAACGATATTCGGTATTTTGGTGATTTTAGCGACATTATTCACCGGAATTGTTTCAAATTTGGTATTTGAAGTTCGTAATAGATACTACAGCATAGGACAGAAAATGAGCTATGTAGGTCCACGTCTTCGTATAGCCCCCATATAACGGTACCTCCCGATATTCGGTATTTTGATGATTTTAGCGACATTATTTATCGGAATTGTTTCAAATTTGGTATTTGAAGTTCGAAATAGATACTAAAGCCTAAGACAGAAAATTGTCTGTGCAGGGCCACGCCTTTGTATAGCCCCCATATAACGGTACCCCCCACATTCAACGATTTTTTTTAAGTTTCGCATTTGAATATTGTAATGGCTTATGAAAAAAGTCGCCTATGAAGGTCCACGTCGTCGTATATATACGGCTACGTTCGGCATTTTTAAGATTTTAACAGAATTTTTAACGGATTTTATTTATTTATTTTATTTTAATTTTTATTTATTTATTTATTTATTTATTTTTTTTTTTTTTTTTAATTTCATATGGTGGAGTAAAGACCGGCCCTGCCGAATTTACAGCTTTTTTACTTGTTACCCATTGAGTACGAATTTCGAAAAACCCTGTCTTATCACACCAAGACTGACCCTAATGCACAATTTTTAGATTCTAGCTTCAGCCGTTTCGACTCGGCGTTAATTCTAGGTCAGTCAGACAGTCAGTCTACTTACTACTAATATACATAGAATAATTGTGAGGTCCTGTAAACTTAGTGTCTTTATAAGAATATTTCGAAAAATCCAGAAAGTGCATACCAAAAAAACCTTAGAAATTATCAATGTCTTAAAAATTTGTGAAACACGATTGGTTATAGTGCCCTGTGACTTTTCCTTATCGGTCTACGGTAGGAGTGAATCGCTGTGGACTGTACCTGCTACATATGTATTTATGTCTGTGCCACAAGTCTTAATACACTTTTACACTATTTATTACCAGAATATTGGCATTGAATACTTTTAAGCGTGCGTCTATTTCAATGAACCCGAAAAGCTGTATATTCAGGACAAAAAAAAATTGCCAAAAATAACTATTAATATTTCTTTTATGTTGTCCGACATTTACATGTTCGATGTGAATGTCGAATTCCACAGAACACCTGTTTGCAATTGCTTTATTTAATGGTGTTATATTGTTAATATTTTTTATTTGTGTTTATTTTGAAGTTAATTTACTCATAGTTTAGTTTTATTATTCCCATCGTGGTTTCATTCTACAAACATCATTTATTATTCATATTATTTTTCAAATTATTTTTTTTTTTTGGAGACAATGTATGCAAAAATTCAGCACATTTGAATATGGAATTAATAATTACTTTGAAACATTTGTTTGGCTTTTTTTTTTTTTTTTTTTTTTTTTTGTTTCAAATTTCATTTGTTTTTAATAAATATTATTCATTATCAGTTCTTTATACCCTACAACACTATGTGTTGGGGGTATTATAAGTTTGATTGGGCCAAAAATTATGTAACACCACGAAATATTGGTTTCCCACATAGGAAAGTATATATGGATCATCCTAGCTCGCCGAGATGAGTCGATCTAGCTATGTCCGTCCGTCCGTCTGTCCGTCTGTCCGTCTGTCCGTCTGTCCATGTTAATTTGTAATCACTCTACAGGTCGCAATTATGGCCCGATCTTTACGAAATTTAGAATGGAGGTGGGGCTAGGGTCAGAATAGAACCCTATTCCTTTTTGAGATGATCGCCAAATGTTTAGGGGTTGAAATGGACCAAATACTGAAAAAATGTCGGATTTTGCAGTAGCTATACAGGTCGCAATTATAGACCAATCGACGCGGAATTTCGCATGTAGCTAGAGTTTAGGACGGGGAAGAAGCCTACCAATTTGGGTGGTCATCGGATAATATTTAGCGGGTAAAATAGACCATATATTTTGTGTTGAAAAAATTCAAAATTTTTCATTAAACCGCGAATATTTTAAATCCCGGCGAAATCACAAAGCCATGAGAAGGTTACTTCTGACCTTTACATTGATGTTAACATCCAACAAATCGGATATATAGCAAAATATGTGCGATATATATGTTTATCAAAGAAGATATGCTTGAAAGATCTCTTATATGTCTAGAACGGCTGAACTGATTTCGACAGTTCTCATTAATTCAGAATGGCCTCTTGGCAGGAAAGAAAAAACGTCTAAAAAAATCGCATAAAAATATCTCTCTAAAGATGAAAATATTGATTTTGTAATATTTTCTCATATTTTTTCAATTATGTCATATTTTTGGCATATTTTCATTTTGAATTAAACATTTGGTAATATTTCTACAGCTAACAAAACTAAGTATTTAGGATATCAGGATATCATATACAGATCGCATTTACGGCCCGATCCTTACGAAATTTTGCATGGGGATAAGATGAGGGTCAGAATAGAAGCCTACTTTTTTTGGAGATGATCGCCATATATTTAGGGGTTGAAATGGACCAAAAAACTGCAAAATTGTCGGCAGGTCGTAATTATCGCCCGATCCTCACGCACATTTGAAAGGGGGTTACCGGACATTGCAAAAGCCAAATAATTTTGGATGGCCATCCAAAAATATTCAATGTGTGAAATAGTTTGCCAACTTTTGTAGACTAAATACGAAAATGTCCACTCCAGAGACTTTTTCGAGAATTCACAAACACAGGAAAGACGCACTTCTGACTATTTCGTTAACGAATATAGTCAAATGTCTGTATCTCATATAGATGCGTTTCAGTCAAAAACCAATAATAAATGTTAATCTTTTACCACTTCTAAGAAATTATAGGTCTTTGAGAAATATTGGTTCCAGATCTAGGAAGACCATTTACGTGCAACATCTACCAATAAATTGGAAATGAGCAAATTAGTTTAAGTTGCTATTATTCGAAAATTAGAGAACGAAACCTGATGGTTTTCTTTTATTATTTGTCACAATATCTTGTGGAATTCTTTCGAGTATCTCGCCTATATAAACTGTATCGTTTATTATAGTGTTGTAGGGTATTCAACGGTCGGCCCCGCTCGACTGTAGCCTTTGCTTACTTGTTTTTGTTTTGTTTTTGTCTTTATTCTAATCTCACAATTTTCGGTAGCCCCGTAACCCGATGGGTCATTGCTAGCCATTTTAAGAGATAAACGCACAAAACTTTTATTTTGAAATAAAGAAGCACTCACTTGCTTTAGCCACTGAGCACTGTATACAAAACGCTGTCAGAATGACAGCGATTAAAGGCAGTGCTTTAGAATATTTCATATTGAAACACAGAAATAAAAAATTAAAACTCTTCTTAGTTATACTCCAACAGATGGACGGGCGATCATGCGGCAGTACAAAAAAACAACGATCCTCAACAGACGGGTTTTAAAATTCTACTAAACTGAGATTCATCAATGATGCGATCTTTAATATAAAATTCAATGCTTGGTGTGTCTTTTTGGATGACCGGCCAACTGCTTGGGAGTCTGGCCCTAGCTGCTGGCTACAGTGTTTGCCAGCCAAGAAGAGAAAGAGAGCGAGCGAGATTAACACAAAACAGGGAGAATCCAATAAATCCCAAAAAAAAGATCCAAGCTGAGCAGATAATTATTATTGATACAATAAAGTCTGATTCAAGTTTTTAGCTTGAGGAAAATCCATAAATAAACTCTCTTCCACAAAAGTACGCTTTACATACTTACAAACTCACGTCCAGACACACTAACAATTGTCTAGGAAAAATATAAAATTTTAAAGAAATCATATCAAAATGATGTTTGGATTTTTTGATAATTAATTCATAGATCTGTGTTTGTTGTTTTCTCAAATTACATTACAACCAAATTCAATTTGCAATTCAAATTGCAAATAAAGTCGGCAATTTTTTGAGTGTGCCAACCGCAACGCTTTTAGACACTGTCAATAACTGGTAAGAAATGAATTGTTCTCAAAATTTATTTGTATATTAACCTAAGCGAGAAAGGTTTAACGATAAGCTGGAGCCGAATCTTATGCACACTTCGTGTATACAATTTTGAATGAGTTCAACTAATGTTGTAATTGTTTGACTTTAAAAATTTGTTCGTTCGACGCGTTTTGGTAACATTCATATATTTATATTAAAGGCATCCCAATTCTTGCCTAGAATTGAAGAAATGAATGTGGAGGGCATGTGGTTTCAACAAGACGGCGTCACATCTCATACAACAATCCGTTCTCGTTTTGTATCGCCTAGATCGTGCAATTTAACACCTTTAGATTTTTATACCCTACACCACAAGGTGGTCAGGGTATTATGTCTTTGTGCATTTGTTTGTAACAGGCAAAAGGAAACGAGATAGACCCATAGTTCCTTTTGATGATCTGCATAGAATCACATTCTGAGTCGATTTATGCATGTCCGTCCGTCCGTCTGTTCGTGTATTTTTATAAACAAAGTACAGTTCGCATTTATTGCCCTATCCAGATTAAATTTTGCACAAACCATCTGTTTGGCCCAAGGACGAACCCTATTGAAATTGGAGATAATCGGTCAAAATTTAGATATAGCTCCCATATATATCTTCGTCCGATTTGCCTTTTATTGTGCACCAAACGTTTAATATCAGTCCAAATAGTATCGAATTTTTCACGTACGATCAGATTGGACCTGAAAATAAGTATGCCAAATATGAAATCGGTTCAGATATAGCTATAGCTCCCATATATATTGTTCATCCGATTTGTTATTTTTGTCCTCCGCAGCCGTAATATGCACTCTGTAACAACAATATTTGGGGAAATATATCAAATACAGCTCAGAAATACATTTGTTAATAGCTCCCATATATAACTTCGTCCGATTTACCTTTGATTGAGAGCCAAACGTCTAATATTTGCCCAAATTGTATGGAATTTAGCACTTACGCACGAATTGAGTCTAGAAACTAGTATGTCAAATTTGGTGAAGATCGGTTCAGATATAGCTATAGCTCCCATATATACTGTTCATCCGATTTGTTATATTTGTTACCTACAGCCGTAATATGCATTCCGTAACAACGATATTCTGGGATATATATCAAATACAACTCAGAAATATCTTTGCCAAATTTTATCGAGATCGGTTCCGATTTGGATATAGCTCCCATATATATTTTTATCCGATTTCCAATTAATTGTGCACCAAATGGGCAATACAAGTCCGAACTTAATAGAAACAAATGCTTTGGCATATTTAGTCCTTTGAACTTTAAATTATAATTATAATCATAGCGTGTATGAATGAATTTAATTATTATGCGCAGCTACTACTAAATTAGCAAAGTGGTGTCGGCCCCGCCCGGCTTTAAGACTTTCTTTAATGGTTTCTATGGGGTTTCTTGAAATTTACCCGAATAAGCCGACAAGAACTTAAGCCTTACAAGAGGAAATTGGGCGTTTAATTAATGAAATGCCGCATAATTTATGTAAAACGACCATAGAAAATTTCATAAAAATATGGTGTATATGTGTGTGTGCCGGCAAAGCCACGACAGCCATCTGCACGGTATGTTGTTCCATACATAACCTCATTCTATTAACTTTACGATATCGTAAAGATTAACTTTTGTTTTCCTTTATACCCTCCACCATAGTATGGAGGGTATATAAAGTTTGTCATTCCGTTTGTAACATCTCGAAATAAACATTTTAGACCCCACAAAGTATATATATTCTTGATCAGGATAAAACTTTAGGTCGATTAAGAGATGACCGTCTGCCTATCCGTCTGTGGAAATCACTCTAGCTTCCGAACGAAATGAAGTAGATTAATACAATTTTACCCAAATGTGTATTATGTCTGCAGGACTTTTGGTATTGAAAATGGGTCATGTAGGTCCATGTTTTGGTATAGCCACCATATAATGGTACCTCCCGATATTCGGTATTTTAATGATTTTAGCGATATTATTCACCGGAAATGTTTCAAATTTGGTATTTGAGGTTTGTAATAGATGCTACAACCTAAGACAGAAAATTGTCTGGGCAGGTCCACGTCTTCGTATAGCCCCCATATAACGGTACCTCTCGATATTCGGTACTTTGTTGATTTTAGCAACATTATTCACCGGAATTCTTTCAAATTTGGTATTTGATGTTCGTAATGGATAGCCCAAGACAGAAAATTGTCTCTGCATTTATTCATAGGAATTCTTTCAAATTTGATATTCGTAATGGATGCTAAAGCTCATGACAGGATATTGTCTGTGCAGCTCCTCGTCTTCGTATAGCCCCCATATAATGGTAACTCTAGCTTCCGAACGAAATGAAGTAGATTAATAAAATTTTACTCAAATGTATATTATGTCTGCAGAACTTTTGGCATTGAAAATGGGCCATGTAGGTCCACGTTTTGGTATAGCTCCCATATAACGGTACCTCCCGATATTCGGTATTTTGATGATTTTAGCGACAATATTCATCGGAATTCTTCTTTTAAATTTGATATTTGATGTTCGTATTGAATGCTACAGCGCTTTTTTTTAAATTTCGCATTTGAATATTGTAATGGCTTATGACAAAAGATACCTATACAGGTCCATGTCGTCCCTAATATAACAGCAACATTCGGCATTTTTAAATTGCTAAATTCGTTCCAAATGGTGGAGGGTATTCAAAGTTCGGTCCGGCTCGGTCCGGTGTATGATGGAATTTTGAAATTTTGTATTGGGGCCCCTGTAGTGGTAGGTACACGAATCGTGCTAATTCGTACTATTTTTGGTGCAATTTTGTATTGGATGCATAGATAGTGCATAAAATCTAAAATTTGGTATTAGGGTCGCTGCTATATTTATGCGAAGAGTACTAAATTGGTATTGGGTCAAAAGATAGGGCTGAATCCTGAAATTTGATATTAGATATTGACGTCTATGTTGGTATCTGGAATTGCGATATGAAGCTGGTTTTGGGAAATTCGTAACAAAATTACATGAAAAGTACTGAATGGTACCATATTTGGTATTGGGTGAAGGAATAGGGCTGAAATTTGATATAGATGTCACTGTTGGTATCTGAGGTTGAGATTTGGCTCTGGTTTGGAAATCCGTCCTTTTTTTTTTGTACAAAAAGTACTAAATGGTACTAAATTTGATATTGGGAGAAGGGATAGAGCTGAAGTTTGATATTTATGTTGCTGATGGTATCTGTGTTTGAGATTTGGAGGTGGTTTGCAAATGCGTCCTATATTTGTGCGAGAAATATTAAGTGGTACTAACTTGGGTGAAGGGATAGAGCTGGAATCCCGAAATTTTATATTGAGGTCTCTGTTGGTATCTGGTATTGAGATCTGGTGGTGGTTTCGCAAATGTGCAGTATAATTGTACAAAAAGTCCTAAATAGTACACTATTTGGATCACTTTTGGTGTCTAGGATTTTTGGATCAGATTGTTTTGGATATGCGTGCTAAATGTTACTAAATTTGGGATTGAGTGAATACATAAAGCTAAAATACTGAAATTTTATATTGAGGTCACTGCTGGTTTCTAGGATTTACACATGGAGACGTTGAAATAGTTTTGATGAGAAAAATTGGATGTGGGTCCATTGTGCAATGATTTTATTTATATCCTCCTCGGTAAACTTCCAAATTAAAGATTTTGAAGACTTGTTGTAGAAAGAGTAAACATTTTCCTATTTTTTTCAAAAAAAGGAAACGCTTGAATAACATATAATACCTTGAAGGTCTGAAAATTTAGTACGATGTATGAAGTTATGATTCCAAATTTTGTCAAACTGAACAAATTGTGCAATTTTAGTAATAAGTAATCGTGTTATTTATTCAGTTAAGTCCTTAGAATGGAACGAATATTAAATTGTTTAGACTTCGTTACAAGTAATCAACTATGTTTGGGCGCCACTCGCATGTTAAATTAAAAAATAAAATTTAAGTCGTTGTTCCGAAAGACATAAACGCTCACCATTTAAACACATTTTTTCTAATGTTAGGCGAGGTACAAGAATATGTGGTATAATATTATTGAATATACTGACATGAGTCATATTTTTTTCATTTTTTGCCAGTTGTCTACTGCCGACACTACTTTTGAGAGTTTATAAAGGAGTTTAGAGAAACACATGATTTCGTTGCAGCACCTGCCACTAGAGACTCATTTTGACAATATAAAAATAATCAAAATCTCTACAGTTATATACTGTCCTCGGAGTATATTTCCCCATTGCAAAAATAAAATGTTACAAACTAACCGACCACCTAAATATACCATCCCTGCAACACACCCAAACACACTTTCTATAAACTTGATTATGAACCGTCATGCGAGTGAGTGTATGCCGTCTCAGTATAAATAACATGTTTGTTTGTATACAACAATTATAAATAAGTACAAAAGCAAAAGTAAGAAAAAAAACCAGGCTCATTTTAACTTCGTCTTCAGAAATTGAAGCTGTCACCTGCCATTCCCAATTTTACAATGCCAATACGAACACCTCCAGTCAAAAAAATTTTTGTTTTCTGTTCTCGCAAAAACTATTTATATGGGAATCACAAGCACATCCAACGTACATACATAAAGATGCATATACGAGTGTATTTTTCGACTTTGACAATAATTCGACACTTGAAATGGCGATAACATTGGAACTAACATTTTTCATGTACATACATATGTATAAATATAATAATCTATTAAAAACTACACAATTTTCTTATTTCCCCATTTAGGTTTGGTTTGATTTAGCTAAACAGCTGTCCATCATTTTAAAACAGCGGTTCTCGGAAACCAGCATTCCTATCTGTTTATTCTAATAAAAGATATAAGCATGTTTTATACCGAAATTTTGCGTTTTATGACAATGGACAAAATCTTAATGTAGGAGGTTGACTTTTACATATTATAACGAACACTAAATTTTCACATTAACTGGACAATTCTAATGTACCATTATGGATAATTTACCACATATAATTGCACGGTGCGACAAAACTCATTTTTTTTTTCAATAATTGCGGGAAACCCCAGCAGATTATGAAAATAGAGCTAAAAACAATTTAATACCCTCCACCATTTGGAATGAATTTGGCAATTTTCAAAAAAAAATAAAATCCGTTAAAAATTCTGTTAAAATCTTAAAAATACCGAATTTAGCCGTTATATATGAAAAAAAAATCGGTGTATAATGTAGCTAAAATCATCAAAATACCGAATATATGGAGGTACCATTGTATTGGGGCTATACGAAGATGTGGACCTGCACTGACAATTTTCTGTCTTAGGCTGTAGTATTCATTACGAACTTCATACACCAAATTTGAAACAATTCCGGCAAATAATGTCGCTAAAATCATCAAAATACCGAATATCGGGAGGTACCGTTGTATGAGGTGCTATACTAAAACGTGGACCTATACATACAATATTTCGTCACACAAGCTAGAACCCATCATGCCTTACAAACACCAAATTTTGGACGATTTCGTGAAAAAATGTGTAAAAATCATCAAAATACCGAATATCATGTGGGGAGCATACCAAAACGTGAACCGATATATCTCATTTTCAATACCAATAATCCTAGAACTAATACAAATTGGTCTGCAAAATTTTGGCGCTCTACGTCAAATAATGTAGGCTTTATGTGATTTTAACAGACAGGCAAACTGACGGACAAAGAGACGGACATCGTTAAATCGACTTAGAATTTTATGCTGATTATGAATATATATACTTTATGGGGTCCACGACGAATATTTAGGGATGTTACAAACGGAATGTCAAAGTTAATATACCCTACTTTCCAAGGTGGAGGGTATAAACAGAAGACACGTGTATCGGCATTTAAAAAATTTTTAATTTTAACCTAACTAGAGAGGGAAAGTTCGCCCTTTCTTTCGGAATCTGTGCATTTTAGGTCTATAGTGTCTTCAGTATGTAGCAGATAAAATTAGGAGGAATATTTTGGTCTATCAACCCCGAGTAAAATATGGTTTAAAACTCAATTTAAACGGGGTGGTAGCAAATTAAAAATATTCTACAAAATAATTTGTCATAAAATTCCACTGTAAGTCCTAATATAAATCAAAAATTTAAATCATATCTAAACGCGAATATTTCATATATATTAAAAAGTCATTTTTGGGTTAAAGCCGTACTTTGTGAGAGTTTGTGCAAAAATCTCCAACAAAACATTATTTTAGATGGACGACAACGAAGTCAAAAATATTCTGCATTACATTTTAAGTTACGAAAGAACAGAAATATATATTTTCAGTGTATATCAAAAAAATTGCATCAATTTTCCAAAAGAAAAAAAAAAGAAACTGTTAATATTCCTTAATGTATTTCACAATTTTTTCCTCGGACTTTTTCGAGTTGACAACTGAATTAAGAAATAGTTTTCAATATTGTTTAATAGAATACAAAACATCAACAAAATGTGTGTATATTTTGACAGAATAAAGATACAAATAATTATTTTGGAGGTAGCTCTGTTCTACCTCCTTTTATTATGCCATGATACACATGCTTGTGACAAGCTAAAGGAAATAAAAAGAACTATACAGGGTGAGATGCAAAAACTGCAACCAACTTCAGATTGCTGTCATTTCTAAGCCACTCATCCGACAGCTGTTAAAATTATTCCAGTGACATTGTTTACAAGCGTAAAAAAGCATTTTGGTGAGAATTTTCTAGAAAAAATGTTATTCGTGACGGAATTCAAAAAAGTTATTCGTGATGGAATTCAAGCGTGATAGTGTGATTTCTTTATATTTGGCTGGAAAACCACAAGTGGCTATCGTTAGAGAACTTCGACAAGTAAAGAAGCGACCGCAGTGGCCGGACAATGACTCGTGAGCTGAACATATCTCAATATTCCATTCGGCAAATATTGAAAAGCCATTGAAATTCCAAAAAGTGCAAGTACTTACACCGCAACAGAAATAAAATAGACTCAAAAGAGCTAAAGAGTTGCTTCGCTTGGCAGAAAGTGGTGAACTGCCGAATTTGGCTCTCTCCGATGAGAAAACATTCGTTGTCCGGCAGTTTGTAAACAAACAAGATGATCGTGTTTACTTGCCAAAGAGGTCAGCTGAAAATGTGCACCTTCGCTTGGCCACCAGAACTCAAGCCCCGGCCATGGTTATGCTGTCGGCCGCCATAACAGCCGATGGTCGCTCTCCGCTTGTATTAATCGACCGTGGCCTCAGAATAAATAATATCGCGAAAATATTCTGGAGGGTCTATTAAAGCCTTGGGTCCGCAAACATTTTGGCCGCAGACCTTGGACATTCCAACAGGACTCAGCACGCGCCACCCAGAAAGGTTACAAAATGAGGTTCCTCGCTTCTTTTCCAGCGCACAATGGCCACCAAAATCTCCGGATACCAATCCGTTGGACTATTATGTCTAGATTATTTTGGAAATCAAGGTTGGCGTTTAAAAATACCAAAATGTCGATTACCTCAAGCAAGTGCTTTGCCGGGAATGGGCCAAAATACTGCAGAGCAACATTCGGGCAGCTGTGACGGTTTCATTGGCCGTTTGAAGGCCATGATTCGTGCAAAAAGTTGACCAATTCGAACAAATCTAAACTTATTCTAAAATTTAATGCTATTTCCGACATTTTTTGCATGCATTCAATAAAATTAAAAAAATGTAAAAATTATGGCGTTTGACTTTGTTTGCAGTTTTTTTATCTCCCTATATTGATGATTTTAGCTACCTTATTCACCGAATTTTTTTATTCAAGTTCCGCATATAAATATTGTAATGGTTTATGATATGGCCACGTCGTCGTATAGACCCTAATATAACGGCTACATTGCGTATGTTTAAGATTTTAACAGAATTTTAAACAGATATAATTTTTGAAAATTACCAAAACCGTTTCACATGGTGGAGTGTATTCAAAGATCGGCCCGGCCGGACTTACAGATTTTTTACTTGTTTTTTTTTTTCAAACTATAGCAGCAAACAAATTGATACCAAACACTTTGCTTTTCTACACACGCACACACAAATCAGCAAATATTATTTTTTTTCACTCGATTTCACGCTTAGAACAAAATTTTACATTATTTCGTACGATTCGGCCTCCACTCACATTTTTTAAACAGAAGTGACTCGGTTGCGCTCTTACGCAAAGCCAAAGAGTGAAGAGTAAACTCCGCATAAAACTCCCACTCTTCGAGTAATAACGCTCGCGGGATTGAATCCCGAGTGAAAACGAACAAATCTATGCTCCGGTTTCATTGGATTTCATATTTAAGTATTTGCAACGGATTACCTCTGTCAAAATTGGTGGAAGTTGGTTCAATATCCATCCATCCATCCTATTAAAAAGTTCCATCCTATTTAAAAGTTCAAACGCTCAAAAGTCGTAATACTCATTAAATAACTATCTTTATTGGTATTTCTTACTTCACCCAAATTGCCAATGCAAATGTATTTTTGTTACGGCATCAAAATATTCTTTTTGGCATCCAAATATTCTTCAACATTTGTTGCGAAACTTTTTGATCTCAGAAATGTCCACAAAATCTTAGCACTCCATGTGGTGAAAGGTACATTGATCCAAAGAATTTATTTTTATACAAAAAATGTTCTTGGTATGCGGTAACCTAATTAAATAAAAAAGTATAAAAAGAGTCTCTCAAATATATACATACAGATATAAGATGTAAAAATCACAAACGGAATTTCCACAATAAAAAACTCCATATTACGCTTCATGATTTCACGATGGCATCAATTTGATAAAGAAAAAGAAAAACAGCAACTATTCTTAAAAGCAAAAGACCGTGACAAACGTTTTTTCATTGAATTCATAATTTCTTTGACAAAACCCAAACCGACATCAACTCTCATTGCCATGGACAAAAACGTACTGCAATTTAGTCTACGAAATTATTTCAAAAGAAATGCACCTAACTTTTGCCGTCTTACTAATCATTGGGAATTTTCCAATGTTTCTAAACGCTTACAGTAATCATCAAGATGAGTACGATAGTCCCAGTCCGGAATGGATACGGTATCAGCAAGAAAGACATCATCCAAAGTATGGCAAACAAACAACCCCGTTTGGAATTTCCCTGAAAGATCATCAACACCATCTACTGCAGCAGCAGCAGACTCACCCGAAGCATCATCAGCCAATAAGAAATAACTCAAACGCCAGGCCAGGGGTTATCGTTAAGCAAGAAAAACAACAACATTTCCCCAGTCATTTGGAAACAACATCCAGACATAGTGGTGTCGATAAGAAGGATAGTGGAAATCACTACGAAGAAGCCGAATACGTCGATGAAATCGAAAATAATACAGATGACCCACAACAGAAAACCGAAGAGGAAGCAAATAATGCCAACAGTGAATTGAAATATCCATCGATTCAAGGATTTTTAACCTTCCTCAAATCACTCAAACAAACATGGATTAAAAACTCCCTATTTCGTATTGAGGATAAAATCAAATTTCTTTATAATTTAAAAGACAATTTATTGCGAAATATTGGTAAGTGTAAATCACCAATTTTAAGAACCAAAGCAAAAAAGTCGGTAAAATTGGAAATTCGATACGTCAATTGGAAATAGTTAAAAATGGCATACTTAGTCTTATGCCAGACTATAAAAATTTTCATTAATGTGAAAATGAGTTTATAGCAAGAGGTATGAAGGGGGTGAAACTCGGTACACAACCTTCTGTAATCTGAAATTATTTTTTGTGCTTAAATTCGTAACTCTCAAATCAAGATGGCTGCACGTCATTTCTTTGATTTTACAGGTGCAGGAAAAGTACTAAATAATGCTATATTTGCAATGATAGTTGATACGAAAGGTTATATAGATCTCAAAAATGCTTCCTTCATATTTATTGGAAATATATAAAGGGTGAAATGAAAAAACTGCAACCAACTTCATACTGCTGTCATTTCTAAGCCACTCGTTCGACAGCTGTTTAAATTATTCCAGTCACAGCTCATTATATTGTTTACAAGCGTACAAAAGCATTTTAGTGAGAATTTTCCAGAAAAAAAGTCATTCGTGCGTAGCGTAGTAGCGTAGCCCGAGGTCAAGGAAATGGACGGAAGAAAACAGCAACATCAGCAGAAATGGCTCGAAGGTAAAGAAGCGCCTTGATCGAAACCCGCGTCGCAATGGTCGAAAAATGGCTCGTGAGCTGAACATATCGCAATATTCCATTCGGCAAATATTGAAAAATGAGATGGGGGTAAAGCCATTGAAATTCCAGAAGAACATTGAAAGAGCCGCAACAGAAAGAAAATAGACTCAAAAGAGCTAAAGAGTTGCTTCGCTTGACCGAAAGTGGTGAACTGCCGAATTTGGTTGTCTCTGATGAAAAAACATTCGTTTTCCAGCAGTTTGTAAACAAACAAAATGATCGTGTTTACTTGCCAAAGAGGTCAGCTGAAATGTGCACCTTCGGTTGGCCATCAGAACTCCAGCGTCGGTCATGGTTATGGTGTGGGCTGCCATAATAGCCGATGGTCGCTCTCCGCTCGTATTAATCGACCGTGGACTCAGAATAAATGCCGAATATAATCGCGAAAATATTCTGGAAGGTGTATTAAAGCCTTGGGTACGCAAACATTTTTGCCGCAGACCTTTGACATTCCAACAGGACTTAGCACCATCACGCTCAGCTCGCGCACCCAAGAATGGTTACAAAATGAGGTTCATCGCTTGATTTCCAGCGCACACCAAAATGGCCACTAAAATCTCCGGAAAGCAAGGTTGGCACTAAAAATACTAAAGTGTCGATCACCTCAAGCAAGCGCTTCTCCGGGAATAGGCCAAAATACCGCAGAGCAACATTCGGCCGTTTGAAGACCATAATTCGTGGCAAAGGTGACCAATTCGAACAAATCTAAAGTTATTCTAACATTTGATGCTTTTTCCGATATTTTTTGCTTTCAATCAATAAAATTATGGCATTTGACTTTGTTGCAGTTTTTTTATGTCACCCTGTATACTGATTATTATATAGCTTCCATCCACTTTTGAATTTAAACCATCATTATCATTCACAATTTATAGACCTATAGAGAAGTTTTTTTTAAAAAAAAAAACACATTCAAATCAGAAAATTCAAATAAATATTTATTTGAACTGTTTGTACGGTAATTTATAGTTTGAAAATTATTTCATATAAATGTTGATCACGACTGCGCCTCAAATGATCCATCGTCTTATTGGAAATTTAGCAGAATATTTTGAAGAGTTCGGCCGGGTTCTCACAAATAAATGCTTTAATGTTGTCTCCAATTGAGGCGGGCTCGTTTATATAGAGATGAGACTTAATATAGCTCCACATAGTCTAAAGACGTTACAACACACGATTATGGCGGCCCTTTGCCCCATCCCGAACGTGAAACGCATCGCATACTGGTTAATGCGCAGGAATTCGCAAGATTCCAATTCAATACTATTCTCCTTAAGTCATTATAAGCACAGCTCAAATATTCCATTAACAAATGACCCTCGCCGTACTAATGTAAAAATTTCGAAATATAATGTTCACCGAACTCGCCACTCTATAAGTCCATTGTTACGTTGGCTGGGTGGCATGTGGCAACATCTTGTTGAAACCACATGTTATAAAAGTCAAGCTCTTGCATTTTGACCAAAAAATAGTTGTTTATCATCTCAAGATAGCGTTCACCATTCACTGTTACATTACGAATAGCAGCATCTTTGAAGAAAAACTGTGACTGTTTCTGGATGTTTCGGTAGCTTTGCAATGCTTTTGGCTAATCTTCACTCTAAAATCGACAATTTTGTTATGCGACCAATCATACGTTGTGTTCTTGAGCATGAAATTACTACTAATTTATACTACATTTTGCGATATAACAAAGGAATATTGGGATATCGCACAAAACATTTTAAATTCTTAACTGTTCTGTAACTACGCATATAATTTTTGAAAAACAATTCTACAAACTTGACATCTTTTAAAATTATCATTTGTATTCAATTTTAGAACGACAATTCACGGCATTATGGACAAATTATGGAGACGATGATTATGACGTCGACGAAGACGATGTCAACGAAGGTCGCCGACACAAGCGTCACAAACGAGGTCTGCTGGGTGAATCAACGATTGAATTTCCACCCGAAGCTGCATTGATGAGTATCAATTTTCTTACGTTTGCAGTATTTTTGATTAAATTGGTTTTGGTGAGTTGAGATTTGTTGCGATAATGTCGTCTTTGATTGTTCAATTTGAATTGCTTGTATGTTATCGTTCAATTTCAGCAAGTGGTGAATATAATAAGAACCAAACATGTTACAATCTCATCGTTTGGAATCAACACAAGTAATTTTACTAAAGGATAATTTCGGGCTGATTTCAAGGAAGCTAACAATTATGGAAAGAAGAATGATGTGATCATTAAGACTAAAAGTTAAACCAAACACAACCAGTTAAAAAATTAGAATAATTTTCAGAAATTAAAAGATTATAAATTAAAACTACATGATTGAAAATAAAGATTAAATAACGAGAAAAATTTGTGGATAACCAGTAAATCGATTTAATCAGTTATGATGTCTTATTAATTAAAAACAAGTAAAAAAGCTGTAAGTTCGGCCCGGCCGATCTTTGAATACCCTCCACCATTTGGAACGATTTTGGCAATTTTCAAAAAAAATAAAATCTGTTAAAATCTTAAACAACCGAATGTAACCGTTATATTAGGATCTATGCGATGACGAGGACAATATTCAAATGCGAAACTTGAATAAAAAAATTCGGTGAAAAATTTAGCTAAAATCATAAAACTTCCGAATATAGGGAGGTACCGTTATATTGGGGCTATACGAAGACGTGGACCTGCACAGACAATTTTCTGTCATAGGCTGTAGTATCCATTACAAACTTCAGACACCAAATTTGAAACAATTCCGATAAATAATGTCGTTACAATCATCAAAATACCGAATATCGGGAGGTACCGTTATATGGGGGATATACGAAAACGTGGACCTACACAGACAATCTCCTGTCATATGCTGTAATGTCTATTACGAACTTCAAATACCAAATTTGAAACAATTCCGATGAATAATAACGCTAAGATCGTCAAAGTACCGAATTTCGGGAGTTACCATTATATGGTAGACGTGGACTTGCATAAAAAATGAAGACGTGGACTTGCACACAAAATTGTCTGTCATAAGCTGTAGTACCTATTACGAACTTCAAATACCAAATTTGAATCATAATGTCGCTTAAATCGCCAAAATACTGAATATATGGAGGCTATAACAAAACGTGAATTGATCTAACTCTGATTCTAATCCATACAAAGCCTCAGATTTTCTTGAATATATGTATATGCCAAGGGCTTTTCTGGCGATGCTGTTCTGTGGCAGGTAGAACCTGTGTAACGCTGTGTAACGTTTGAAGACCCAAATTACAATTAACCATCGACTCGATTCGATTATGTGTGTTATTCAATGCTGATTTCCGACATCGATAAACGAACAGTCCAAAAACATCATTAAATCAAATTCATCTTCCATCATCTCATCATGGTAAATACTATTTAATAAATACATTGATTAAGTAAATACTACGATTCATTGTTGAAATCCTCTGGATCGCTCATTCCCTTGGCTGTCCATTTTTCGGTCTGTCCCAGATCCTACAAGAATTTACCAGTTTTCCAATATTTTTCGATATCAAAAAGGGAAAATCGGCAATCGTATTAAAAACTTTTACATGCTTGCAGTTCTTCGTTTGAATAATTGTCGAATCTATCACCATACCTTTTGTTTTAATGCCAATTAAATGTTTCCAAAAATTATTTCTATCATCTACAACTAAAAAGAACTAAATTTCCTTTGAAAGAAATATGTTGCGTCTCATACTAAAGGTAGGTTTTTTGGTTTAACAAACTTAAGACAGTCAACTTTATTTTATTTACACGGCCATGATTCTTTTCAAAATATCTATGCAATTGTTTATTACAGCCAATAATACAATCCCCTTTCAAAGGAACCATGATAACGCAGTTGCAACGATACAAGTCAACAACATTGCAACCGAAAATGATACGACTACAACAAAAATTCCAAGAGAAAAACAATCTTCCAATACATCTTAAAGGTGGAGCAAAAGACAAACTTTTGTATCTTACAACAATGGGTTTGACAGGATGTGGTCTCGTCTATACATTGGTATTTCTAGCTGGATACATCATATTTGATTGATTTGTTATTAGAAAATATTAAGTCTTTTTATTATTTGTAACAATTTTTAGTGATTTGCTTAAAAATGCAATAAATATTTGGTTTAAATGAAACACGCACACAAATTAAAAAATCTAATTAAACTTAATGAAGTACCCTCCCATATTCTCCTGTTCATCACTAGCTTTGTGTTTGAGCATCGATTTTATCGATAACACTCTTTAGACAATCCTTGGTGGATACTTTTTCTAAATTGCACATTTTCGTTAGATCCATTGTGGAAATTTGCTCAATCATCTCCTTGATACGTTCCTGTTTGATAATAGCCTTTACCGATTGTTTGGCAGAGACTTTTTCGACTGGTTTCGTGTTGAGTTTTTCTTGCGAATCATTTTCTATGTGTTTACCCTTTGAACGGAAATGTTGTTCAATGAGACGTCGTATTTTTAATTTCGTAGCTTTCGTTTTACGATTCACCTGTCCCAAAGCTAAATTACGTAACTCTTCGAAATTAATTTCTTTATGTGGTGTATCCGTGTTCTCCTTGGATTGTACAAGGTCTTGTTCTTCGTATGACTCAACAGTCGATACAATTGCATCATTATCATCCTCTAAGCTAACAGCTGAAGAAAGTAAAGTACTTAGCTCGGGATCTATCTTCGAAGATGGTTGGGAAATCTCTTCCTCATTTTGTTCTTCTGTGTTTTCTGTAGTTTCATCCAAAGTTTTAGGTATTTCATCATTTACTAGTTGAATGTCTAGTTCTTCTGTTTTTGTGGCCTCATTATCAACCATTTCCTTCGAAATTATTGCTTCCTCAATATCAATTTCCTTCTCCTGTTTCTCTTCTTCGCTTTTATTAGATTGTTCCATTGACTCTTGTGATATATTATCTGTATTTTGCTCTGACTCTAATTTCTCCTCTTCATTTGTAACTCTATCTGCTTGCTCTGATTTGACATTCACATCTGGCTGCACATTCTCTTTTTGTTGGTGAGTTTTCTTCTTTTTCTTTTTATCTTTGGGTTTTGATACAACATTTTCTTCATCCAAATTATTTAATTTGCCCTCCGAGATTTCTTGGTGTTCACTGGATATTTCCTTACTAACTTCTTTAGGCTTCTTAGTTTTCTTTGTTGGTTTCTCCACACTTTCTTCAGGGGTCTGCTCCGTTATTGATTTCTTTTTTCGCTTTTTACTTTCTTTCTTGGTAACGTCGCTGGGCCCTCTGCCTGGTTTTCTCTTAAGTATGGCCAGACAGGCTTTGGTTTTGATTTTGATAGGCATAATAGAATTATACTGAATTCCAATGTTATTGAAACAATCTACAAATTCCAATGTATCGAAATCTTCTTGCAGTGATGACCATAATTGATTGTTGAATTTATTTTTGGCTTCTACAATTAAATGGGTGTATGCCAGGGATTCATCTTTGGTATAGTTCATTTGTTCCCTTTTACAGTAACTTAAATAGAAAATGTTTTGTTAGTCTTGCAAAACATTCTAAATGAGAAAACGTCTTTACCTCCAATTATCATGAATTTGTAAAAATCTCGACACACCACTTTGTGCTGCCAAATTTGAAATATGCACCGAAACATTTGAGGAACCAGCCTCAAGTAAATTTAAACGGGTCATAGCAGCTCCACCAGGATAATTAGTACCGGATACTATCAGCAGGAACAATGTTACACAAACATTGAGAAGTAAATGTCCACCTGCGCATAAAGATAAAAATCCATGCCATAACGATTTGCCACTATTGGACCAACTGCAAACAAAGAAAATTGTTATAACATGACAATACTAAATAAAATAAAATTGCTACTTACAAACGATGGCATGCTGTTGCTGCCGCTAAATTCAATACCGGGAATACGTAAATTATGAAACGCAACTCTTTATGAGGTAAGATAGAATATATCGCCACAAAACCAATGGCCGCCAACACAATGGGTCTAACTCTTCTTTCCAAAATAAAGCCAATTGGTACAAATAGTAAAGATGCTGCCATTGCTCTTGGCAAAGCTGAATAAAAATACCACAAAAATGGTGAAGTCTACAGAAAAATTAATTTCAAGTTAAGGAAACCATAAGCAGAGGTTAATTTACAAACATTCAAATCATTTGCAGATTCGTTATGTTAAACATGACTCGAATCATGCTAAATAAATTTAAAGATATAATTTTAGTCAATTTTAAAAAGGATACACCCCAATCAGAGCTTTTGTTTAATATGGTATTATACCATAGCACTTCACCCTCTGGCCAGAGCAAACGTTGCCAAAAGAATGAATCCACAGCAATCGAGGTAATAAGTATCACAATGGCAGTTGGGATAGCAATTTTTAAGATTCTGAAAATATGTTAAAACGGCGTAAATATAAAGTGATATTCAAGAGACACACTGGAAACTTATATGAACAAATTTGAACGGGTTTCATATTTTTCCCTATTTTAAATAATCTCAGTTTTTGCTCATAACCATTTCAGTCTATACGCCTGATTTACATTGGGCAATTATAATTGCTTTCTTGCACCTAAAAACCGACTATTGCGACAATTATAATTGTCAAGTGTAAATTTGGACATAACCATGGTATACAGCTTCTCTCTCACCTGGCAATTGTTACTTTCTTAAACAATGAATTGATTAATACCAGCAAACCCAAAAATATTATCAATTCCGAACGGAATATAAGTATGGCAATACCGGAACAAATTATAAATGGTTTGATTTGATCATTTAACCAATAGGCCAAGGCGTAGAGAACTGAAAATATAAAATAGTGATTTACTTTGTGTTTTTTACCTTCGAATAATTCGTACTTACCCAATGGCAGTGCCATAATATTCGGCAACGTTCTAGACATATAGAAAATGAAATGAAATTGTGTTAGCGTTATAAGACTAAACCAAAGGCTAACATCTGAACCATAGATTTTAGTAATGACCCGTTTCAATTTGGTCCATGCACAGGTGACAACAGCTGCCAAGACTAGGCGAACTAAAACAGAGGAAATAAATGAGTTTTGAAAAAGGGAATATTCAAAATTAATATTTTAATTTATAATAAACAAACGTTGTTCTTATAAAAACAACAATAATGACATTAAGCCTGACTATTTTGCAACAACATGAATCTAGAATCTTAAATATACCTCAACTAAATCCCTTATGTATGGTGCATTGCTTCGAATATATTAAATAAAGATGCACAAAAAAAAAACGAAATTAAATCAGTGGTGTATGAAAAAATTAATAGACTACGATATATATTTTTTTTTTTTTTGATCAGCTACTAACGAAATAAAATCTTAATATGAATAGTGAAACATTCTAACGAATAAGCAAAAAAACTCAAAAATTGTGAAAAACGTGATATTTTTTCTATTTTTTTTTTTTTTTTTTTTTTTTGTGACAGCGGAATATGCCACCCATCCAAGAACATAACGTATATTGAAAACAATTAAAACAAATCAGTCGGTCTATTCGACAAATGTGTACCCTTTCCGATTCATACCTGGCCCAAGTCTAATATAAATATATTGACGTCCCAAGTTAAGACTCTACCATTTCCTCCACTTCATATGAGATATATGCATTTTTATACCCTCCACCATAGTATGGAGGGTATATTATGTTTGTCATTTCGTTTGTAACACCTCGAAATATAGATTTTAGACCCCACAAAGTATATGTTCTTGACCAGCATAAAATTCTATGTCGATTTAGCGATGTCCGCCCATCTAACCGTCTGTGGAAATCACTCTAGCTTCCGAACGAAATCGAGTAGGTTGCTAAAATTGTACTCAAATGTATATTATATCTGCAGGACTTTTGGTATTGAAAATATGCCATGTGCGTGGAACACGTTTTGCTATAGCCCCCATATACCGTTAACTCCCGATTTTCGGTATTTTGATAATTTTATCAACATTATTCACCGGAATTGTTTCAAATTTGGTATTTGATGTTCGTAATGGATACTAAGGCAGAAAATTGTCATCATAAACCCCCTATATAACGGTACCTCTCGATATTTAGTATTTTGATGATTTTAGCGACATTATTCACCGGAATTCCTTCAAATTTAGTATTAGAATTTCGTAATGGATACTACAGCCTAAGACAGAAAATTGTCTGTGCAAGTTCACGTTTTGGTATAGCCCCCATATAACAGTACCTCCTTTTACTCGATATTTTGATGATGCAGGTCCGCGTCGTCGTATAGATCCTAATATACCGGCTATATTCGGTATTTTTAAGATATTAACAGAATTTTTAACGGATTTTATTTTTTTTTTTTTTTATTTTTTTGAAAATTGCCAAATTTGTTCCATATGGTGGAAGGTATTCAAAGTTCGACAGTTTTTTTTTGTGAAAAATGTATGCTTCTGTGCGTGACGTACCGGATAGAGTGAAACAACATTTTCCTCCTTTGAATTGATTTTTAAAAATATAGAAATAATGGAAGTTTATAAAAATAGCGAAAATTTGATACTATTGTAGAAGTCGGTCGATTTTGCTCATCACCGAGCTCAATCCAAGTCTGATAGAAATCTTACATTACACAACATTTGGACAAAATCGTCATTATAGACAGACGGACTTTTTCGGAAGTCTTCAAACTGGTTTCGATCAAAGAGGTCTATGGTGAGAAAAACTATTATTTCGATAAGGCAGGTTTTGGACTCAAGAAATATTATACACCGTCCTAAAAAATTACTCATAATTGAGAAACTGATTCAAATTTGCTTCATGGAGAACTAAGACGAAAACTTGTTGGAATATAACGAACTTTTCACTTTCCCATCCTTACAAGGGTTACATTCGGTTTAACTTTGACGGTTAAAACATACTAAAATCAATAAAGCACTTTGACCCACTCTATTCGGTTGTATCATTATCTCTTGTAATAAAAAAACGACATCCAATATTTTTCACCGAACTCCTGTCCATAAATTTGTTTTTTAAACATACAAGTTTGTACATATACCTACCTATGTAAAGAGACCAATATTTGCTGATATGCAATGTTTCAAAAAGCAAAATAAATGGCGACGAGAGTATTGATATAAACAGGGGTCCCAGAAATGTACGCGGCACCACCCCAGGAAATTCATGATGATCATACTGCAATTGGAAAATTATAAACATTTAATTTTCGTCCACACTGACAGGAATTTACAACAAACCTCTGTGAAATTATGACGCAAATACAAAATGTCATGTATGGCCTGAAGATTGAAACTCTCTTCCACCTTGGTAAAGGGGGTGTACACAATGTGTGCGGCAGCTGTTATAAATAGTAACAAATCCATGACGATGATGATGCGGTGTAGTCCAAAAACTCAGATTCCAATGGCAATTCAATTGATTTGCTAAATCCAATCATACACAAATTACATAATTTTTGTTCAATAGATATTCCACAAATTCCGAAATTGTTAGAACAATTTGTCCACCACAAATGTTTTCAGCCGTCCGCCGGAGACAAGTGAAAATGTTTGGTCTGTTCTTCTTCTGTTTTTGCGAGAATGTGTCAGTCCAAAAAAGCTAGCAGAACGCACTCGATGAACGACTAATGTGTCAGACTACGGTGGGAGAATATATACGTACATTAGTTTCTTCTCTTGATTTTTGATAGCGTAGCGTAATAATAATGACACCTATGCGGGTGACCTGTTGACAAGAAAGATCGGCTACAACAAAAATTTTACTTGGCACACAAGAACCGGCAAAACTTGGCGTTGACTTGTGTTTGGTTCCTTATCAGTGGTGTGTACGTGTGTTTTCTGATGCCGCACAAAATTGAGTAGACACTTGTTGACACCAACAACCCACCAGATAAACAATTGTATCCAATAGATATTATAGAAATGCGATCCAACAATACAATACAATTTCTCCTGTGTTCTCCGGCTAAAATTAGATTGCCACCAATCTTCAGGTATCTACGTATCCGAAAGTTGTCATTCCTTAATGTCTACAGTTTCTTTTAAATGCATTATTTCTTCAACTCGACAATGTAATCTCGAAAGTTTTATTTAGTTATTTGTTTTGGTTCTTTGAAACTGCATTTGTTTAAAACAATTTCACAGAGACCTACGCCGATCGGATCACAGCCAGCTGAGCCGAGCCGCCGATAAAATTTCAATGCCGCCGCTGCCGAAAATTTCCTCGGCTCCAATCAGCTAAAATTCAGCCGCCGTTTAAATTCGTAACAATATAACACAGATGGGCATACTGCACTGTATTTTTAATGCACTAATAATTTCACTATCACTGTTCATTTATTGGTAGTGCAATTTTTTATTCCACTACCACTAAAGGTGGTAGTGGAATAAAATTAAACTGCACTAGCACCAGCCATTTAGTGATATTTAAAAAAAAATTGCACTACCACTAAATTTTAGTGGTAGTGAAATTTGAATAGCACTACCACTAAATTTAGTGGTATTTAAAAACAATTGCACTAAATTAGTGGTATTTCATAAAAAAATAGGACTAAATAATGCTATTTAGAAAAGTAATCAAATTTTATGAATATGTACTATATATTCTGGATTGCTGTTAGTGAATAGCGAACAAACTTCATGATAGCTGGTATAATACATATATACATAGTGCTTTTCTTTGGCTCGCAAAAATTTTGTGGTAATGCAAATTTTTTTGAAAAATCACTAAATTTAGTGGTAGTGAAATTTTAATAGCACTAGCTCTAAAATTTAGTGGTAGTGCAATTTTTTTTTAAATATCACTAAATGGTTAGTAGTATTGCAATTTAATTTTTCACTACCACTAACCCTTTAGTGGTGGTGGAATAAAAAATTCCTTCTAAAAGATGGTCATGCTAGAAAACATCTGTTCGATGCAACATTGCGGGGCATAAACAGACTAAAACAGAAGATATAATATGAAAGTATGAGATGACTTTACCTTCTTAATTTACCATGGTTTTTATTATGATAATCAATTTTACTTTTTCCTAAAAAAACTTTGTATGGCTTATTCGTTCAATTTAATATGTGTTTGTTTTGAACAATACGCAAAATTATTTTAAAAACAAGTAAGCAAAGGCTACAGTCGAGCGGGGCCGACCGTTGAATACCCTACAACACTATAATAAACCATACAGTTTATATAGGCGAAATACTCGACCGAATTCCACAAGATATTGTGACCAATAATAAAAGAAACCCATCAGGTTTCGTTCTCTAATTTTCGAATAATAGCAACTTAAACTAATTTGCTCATTTCCAATTTATTGGTAGATGTTGCACGTAAATGGTCTTCCTAGATCTGGAACCAATATTTCCCAAAGACCTATAACCTCTCTGGCAAAAGATTAACATTTATTATTGGTTTTTGACTGAAACGCATCTATATGAGATACAGACATTTGACTATATTCTTCAACGAAATCAGCGTTAACGAAATAGTCGGAAGTGCGTCTTTCCTGTATTTGTGAATTCTCCAAAAAGTCACTGGAATGGACATTTTCATATTTTGTCTACAAAAGTTGGCAAACTATTTCACACATTGAATATTTTTGGATGGCCATCCGAAACTGCTTGGCTTTTGCAATGTGGGGTAACCCCCATTCAAATGTGCGTGAGGATCGGGCGATAATTACGACCTGCCGACAATTTTGCAGTTTTTTGGTCCATTTCAACCCCTAAATATATGGCGATCATCTCCAAAAAGAGTAGGCTTCTATTCTAACCCTCATCTTATCCCCATGCAAAATTTCGTAAGGATCGGGCCATAAATGAGATCTGTATATGATATCCTGATATCCTAACTACTTAGTTTTGTTAGCTGTAGAAATATTACCAAGTGTTTAATTCAAAATGAAAATATGCCAAAAATATGACAAAATTGAAAAAATATGAGAAAATTTTACAAAATCAATATTTTCATCTTTAGAGAGATATTTTTATGCGATTTTTTTAGACGTTTTTTGTTTCCTGCCAAGAGGCCATTCTGAATTAATGAGAACAGTCGAAATCAATTCAGCCGTTCTCGACATATAAGAGATTTATAAATAATAAGATTTTTTTTTCGAGCTTTAGGCCATTTTCGGATTTATTTTATTGATTACAATAATATGTTCCCAATATTTCGCAATTATCAAATTGCATCTTCAGGGGCAATCTATTTTAGAAAACATAATTATTAGTATCACAGCATTTTGTTATGGGCACAATTATTTTCCAAAAAAGAGATTTCTTACATTTACATAAAATTGTCAGATTTACTTAACAGCTAATGTAGTTTTTACTACCATTGTCTGGTGTTATTATTGCACTGATTATTTCTACGTATTGCACGATCTCTTCTTTGTCAAGTGTCGATAACAATAAGCTGCATTATCGGTGTCGCTTTTGTAATTGATCTTTTTGTTTGTTGGTATGTTATTTATATGCAGCATCTCCAATGTTAACCTTCTGTTGTAGTTGTTCTCCGCCTGTAATACTCGTATTTTGTCAAAGTTTGGTATGTGATTGTTAAGTTTACAGTGTTCCGCAAGTGCTGTTTTTTGAATATTGTTTTGGCTCCTTAATTTAATGTCTGATTTATGTCCCGATATTCTAGTTTTTAATTTGTTTTTTGTGGTACCAACATATATTTTTCCACATTTTTCGTCTTTTGTTCCATCACATTCAATGCTATATATTACATTGTGTCTCTCACTTAGCGGAATTCTACTTTTGGTATTAGTAAATAAACTTTTTAGTGTATTGTTTGTCCGTGTTGCTATTTGCAGTTTATCCTTGTCATATAAATCGGAATTTTGGAATCTCTCAGATAATCCAGGAATATAAATCATTGATTTGTAATATTTTTCTTGAGATTTGTCCTTAGATTTCGGTATATTATATTCATTTATTAATTTTTCAATTAATAATTTTGGAAAACAGTTTTTGGACAGTATTTTTCGTATTTTGTTTTTATTAGTTTCGTGGAATTTATGGTCGCTAATATTCAATATTCTGTTTATAAGATTTCTACCTGTGTTAATAATCATTTGTTTTAGATGTTTCGAGTGGAAATTTAATATGCGACTCGATGCCGTCGGTTTTTGATACCAGTTCATTTCTATTTTATTGTCCTTTCTCATTACAAGTGTGTCCAGATATGGGATGGAACCATTATGCTCCTTTTCAATGGTAAATTTAATATTTTTGTTGAAATTATTGAAAGTCGTCAATGTTTCTTGTATTGCATTTTCCCCAACAATCATAAATAAATCGTCTACATACTTTGTTAATATCACAGGTTTCGTCTTAAGTTTTTCCATGCAGGTGTCAAGTAGTTTCTCCATCACTATATCAGCTACAATCGGAGAAGCTGGTGAACCCATAGGTAGTCCTTTCTTTTGTTTGTATATTCTGCCCTCATATTGAAAATATCGATTATCTTTAATACAAAACTTTAGAATACTTAAAAATAAGCTCTTTGACATATTGGTGTATTCCTCAATTTCGTTCCATCTTTTCTCTATTATTTCTAGTCCCAGGTCCACAGGTATACTTGGAAAAAGTGACACAACATCAAATGAGACCATCTGCTCTTCGTCTTTAATCGTCAAGTTTTTAATCTTATCTCTAAATTGCATCGAGTCCCTTACATTGTATTTGGAGTTTTTGGTCAGATTTTTTAGAATATTTACCACATATTTGCATAATTGTATTGAAGGTGAGTTAACCGATGAGCATATAGGTCTCAAGGGGAAATTTTCTTTATGAATTTTGGGTAGTCCGTATAGTCTTGGTGCTATAGCCACGTCAGTTTTCAGACATTTTTTCTCTGCCGTCGATATTATATTGTTTTTAAACAATTCTTCCACGAGTTCATTGTTTTTCTTGGACAAGTTAGATGTGGGGTCTTTAATTAATCGTTGGTAAGTCATCATGTCACCTAATATCTCATTCATTCTTTGTTGATAATCATCTTTATACATTGCTACTGTCACATTACCCTTATCCGCATTTAAAATTAAAACCATTTCTCAATATAAGAGATCTTTCAAGCATATCTTCTTTGATAGACATATATATTGCAAATATTTTGCTATATATCCGATTTGTTGGATAATAACATCAATGTAAAGGTCAGAAGTAACCTTGTTATGGCTTTGTGATTTCGCCGGGATTTAAAATATTCGCGGTTTAATGAAAAATTTTGATTTTTTTTCAACACAAAAGATATGGTCTATTTTACCCGCTAGATATTATCCGATGACCACCCAAATTAGTAGGCTTCTTCCCCACCCTAAACTCTATCTACATGCGAAATTTCGCGTCGATTGGTCTATAATTGCGACCTGTATAGCTACAGCAAAATCTGACATTTTTTCAGTATTTGGTCCATTTCAATCCCTAAACATTTGGCGATCAATCGAGGTGTTACATAATTTTTGGCCCAATCAAACTTATAATACCCCAACACATAGTGTTGTAGGGTATAAAAAGTAAAATTCAAATTATTATTTAAATGCATAAAAGAAAAGTATGTCTTTAATTAAATAAAAAAAAGGTTCCCATCTCTGATTTCTGTGTATACAATGGATTTATAATTATAAATTTTGACAATGAGATGTTGTGAAATGAAGTACATAAAAAGCTTTATATTGGTAGGTAAATTATAATGGAAAAGGACGTCACGACTTTAGTGCGTCTTTGTAATCCCTTTATGAAATGTCACAAAATTTGCCTAGCCATGATTTCAAGCTTATGTACTTACACCCATGGTACAATGAAATAAAGGTAACCTCATTTCAAACTAGCATTCCCAGCTCCGCATTTTCTGTAATTTAACTAGTCAAATTTCAATGCATATAAACAATTCCAATCTCTGGCTTTGTGTGTATACAATGGATTCATGATTTTGACAATGAGATGTTGTCAAATGTATAAATTTGAAAAAAATTGTTACACCTTAAGTTTAATTGCTTACACCTTAAGTTTAAAAGTTTGAAAAAATTGTAAACGTATAATTGTATGACTTTACCTTCTTAAATTTACCATGGGCCATGGAACAGGTGGAGGGACAATGAACTGTCAAACCAATTTTGGAATTGGAAAACGCGTATTATAATAACCTCCGATTG